TATTTTATTTATTCATTCTTCATTTTACTGCTAAATGCAGAAATCCCCAATTAGATTGCCTCATAGGAGTATATTTGCTATAGCTTCCATGATTGGTAGGCAGGTTTGCAACCGTAGATTTTTGTTTTCAGCAAGATGTTACTGCCCATCTCCTATACGTTATAAATTTATATTTAAAACCAACACTCAAGCTCGACGTTCATAAATAAAGCACTAGCGAGTGGCTGAGTCATAGCCCGCGCATGTCCTGGCACAGGACTCCGCTATTTCGATATGGTGGCTCATGTATGACGCGTTGGTTTAACTTTAGATTATTCCATGTCTTTGTATTGGCGATAATTTAAATATAGTTTTAGAAATAAAATAATGTTGTTTCTAAAGTAAATGAAATCGATCGATAAGCATAATACCGTTACAGATTATTAAAGTCCACTACTGAACATAGGCCTCCTCCATAGATTGCGACATATGATGGATATTTGCCATAGTTGCCACGCTTGGCAAGCGGGTTGGTAATCACAGTTTTTTTTAGTCGTTATTAGTAAGACCGATAAAAGATCTACCTCGTTTTTCAGAATAATAAAATGTTGTCAAAAAAGAATCAGTCAGTTACACTAACTCAGTTTGATGTAAATCTCAGATTTTTATTCGTTAACAGATAGTTTAGGTAATTCTTTATTGCTATAAGATATAGATTACTATTATATTATATCATGTGGAAAGAATGAACGAGGAAAGAGTAACAAAGAAAATTTATGTTGCAGAAGTGAATGGCAGAGTTGGAAAGGGACGTCCTAGGCGAAAATTTATCGACCAAATTGGCGATTTATTGAAAACGGGCCAAATTAGGAGTACCCTTAACCGACGAGCATATATGTGTAGGTATATGGATGTGAAGGAGGCGAGAGAGGTGTGTCAGGATCGTGCCAAATGGAAGTCTGTAGTCTCTGCCTACCCCTCTGGGTGACAGGTGTGTGTGTTTATGTATGTATGTATATTATTAGACAACTAGTTGATATAGTATCTAGTCTTTGAAATATAATAATGATGTTCCAAAGACTAGATACTATACTATAATTAAAAGTAAGTGAAATAAATAATCTTAAAGTGAGCAAACATAAATTAGTTAAACAATCTATAAACAAACTAACTTGTCAGGCAAATGTCGTTCTGCCTTTTTCGACGACCCTTTGTCATGTACTATTCAAAAATCCTTAAATTCGCAAAAAAAATTGTGAGTCACTCATGGGCAAAAAACTAGCCCTATCTCTCAAATTGGACCAAACTGCACACAGTGTGCAAAATAATATCATCATCATCATTATTTCAGACCATTCCAAGTCCACAACTGAGTATAGGCTTTGCCCACAGATTGCATTTGATTTTAGACGTGGTAAAGCCACGCTGCAGCTATGTTATGGTTGTAGCACGAATGAGTCGGCTCGACCGTGGAGGCACCATGCCCTCACATAATACCAGCGTAAAATAGCAGCTTGGTGCGGCTGTGTTTCGTATGGTGAGTGTTAGGATCCGGAGACCCTTTTTTACTGCAATCGAGGCATTCCATCTTAGTCCTCAGGCATGACAACGCATCTGCGTTTTGATTCTTAACCGTTGATAAATTTATGTACCTAGATATCTATTGGCCACAGCATCCACTTACCATCAGGTGGTCTGTGTGCTCGTTTGTCACCCTTACTCTATAAAAATAAAAAATTGCCAATTACGAATATTAGTAAAAGTTGCCAAGCTTGGCAGGCGGGTTAGCAACCGCATTTTATTTTTCTAGATGTTATAAGAAGACGCCTATCTCCTGGTTTGTTTCTATCACCTCTTACAGCACACACGGGTGTTTCCGAAAAAGGAATCAAAACAGAGTATATTATTATAACTAGTATCAATAGAGTTCATCGTGAGCGTTAATCCACTGACAGGTGGCAACGAAATGGAAAATTGATTTCTAAAGTTTTTTCAGGACAAAAAGTTATTAGGTCCAATTAATTAATTAAATTAATTTTTGTCCAGTTAAAAATATGTAAAAGTAAATTAGCACGTTGTACGATAATAATTTCAGCTAGGATTAAAACCCTATGCTTTAGACTTAGCCGGCCGCAATATATACCAATAAACTAAGAGGTATTCATTATGTATAAATTTTAAGCTTTTATTCAGCGTTTTTAAACGAAATGAAAATAAACGGAGACGCCTGGTAGAATTCAATATGCAAGTTGTATAAACGACATAAACAAAGAAGAACGACAGGGACGGCAAGCATATCGAGCTACTTTTTTAGAATTTAATTTTTAATTATCTGCACTTACAGATGTTTCTGTAATTATATAAAAGCCTATAACTGACATTTAAAGAAAAACGTTTGAAAAAGGTTTGAGACGTGATTGGAAAGCGTAAGTCAGACATAACAAATAAATAATCCAAAGTTTAGGTCAAATATTACACTGATATATGTATATAATACTGAAAACTTTAAGTTTGTATTTAAGGTTAACTCTGTCATTTCACTTATTTTGTATATGAAGCTATTTCTATTAAAGTTGTGTAACCTGTGACCTTTTTTATATAAAACAATAAAATATTATTTAGGTACCTAAAGGTAGTCTCGATGATTTACACGGTAGATCCATGCTGCGACTATATCTATATTTATAGCACGAATGGGTCGGCTCAACCGGGTAAGAACCACGCTCTTACAAAATAACAGCAGCTTAATGGTTTTTAGGGTTCCGTAGTCAACTAGGAACCCTTATAGTTTCGCCATGTCTGTCTGTCCGTCTGTCCGTCCTCGCTTAATCTCTGTGACCGTTAGCACTAGAAAGCTGAAATTTGGTACCAATATGTGTATCAATCACGCCGACAAAGTGGTAAGATAAAAATTGGAAAAAAATGTTTTATTAGGGTAGCCCCCCCTATATGTAAAGAGCGAAGTGATTTTTTTTTTAGTTTCAACCTTAACGTGTGATATATTGTTGGAAAGGTATTTAAAAATGAATAGGGGTTTACTAAAATCATTTTTTGATAATGTCAATAATTTCGGAAATAATCGCTCCAAAAGTAAAAAACAATGTGTCCCCCCCTCTAACTTTTGAACCATAAGTTTAGAAAATATGAAAAAAAATCTGAAAAGTGGAACTTTATAAGGACTTTCTAGGAAAATTATTTTGAATTTGGATGGAAAGTCGGAGCGCCTGCCGCGGAGCGTGCAATGTTGCACGCTCCATGTTCGCGCACGTACCCACGACCGGGAGCAGTTGCAGGAGCGCGGAGCGCTGCTGGAAGCGCGAACATAATGGATACCCACCTTTAAACTCATAAGTGGGAACACTTATTGAGACGGACGGGAAACTACGGAACCCTACACTGAGCGTGGCCCGACACGCTCTTGGCCGGTTTTTTTTTAATCGAGGATAGATGCCGGAACACAGCATTCAATTAACATCAAGTTGACTGTGCGCTTGTTTGTCACTCTTATTGTAAAATCTAAAGAGGGTATAACATCAGTATATCTCCTCATCCTATTTTGGAACAATATGTAAAAAAGTTTAACAATGGATTACTGTACAAAACTATTTAAAATGTACCAAAAGTGAGAGCCAAAAACTCATGAAAATTAATTTTAGTCCCTGGAATTGAAAAAAGAAACGGAGTATGAATCTCTCATAATTTCTCAGAGCGCCACGCATCGCATTAGCGAATGGAAAAAGCGTCAAACGTCAAAGGCGAAAAAGGGTCAAGCGCGGCGATTAGAGAAAATTATTCCGAGGAAAAGGACATTATCTAAAATATAAGGACTCGACGGTATAACGTGAAAACGGTTAAAAATTACGTAATTGAGTATCTGTCTGAAAACCTAGACATTCTACCAAAGAGATTTTTCCAGACCGATAAGATTTAGGGACATTCAGAAAAACAGCCTACTCCTTTTTAAGGGTCGAAAGCGCACCTGCAATTGCCTTGGTGTTGTAGTTGTTCAATGGCAGCGCGGCACTGCTTTATCGATATCCACTAACACCAGCATCGAGTAAAAATGATCATCCACATACCACTCTGAAGAAAATGTAAAAAAAAAGAATCCAAAGTACTTACTTTGTTTGATGACTAAAAGTAAATATCAAATTTTAAGTTGATGTCATAGGGATATGCTATCATTCAATGCCTCTGAAGTCCTTTAGCATCGAACGAACTACAAATGAGCAAGATGTGTAAGTACATTGGGTATCTTTTTTGGGTTATAGAATGTACAAAAACAAGAGGCAGGACTACATTCTACAGGATAACACCCAAAAACTTTTTTGATTATGAGACCATCACTGCTATGCTAAATAACAGTATTTAGCTTGAAAAATAAAATGGTCCTCACTGATACTGAAATTTGAATTCTCAAGTATGGATGTCACAGTTTGCTATCTTTGACGTCCAGACTTCCTACATGTGCCGCCCTGGTGAAACGAAACTTACCTTTGCAAGGTTACCACTACAGAACTTTTCTTGACTATCGGTAAGCGGTCCCTCTAGCTGTATGGCCGCCCTTCTATTTCAGCTTACTTAGCCGTGAATTTATAACCAATACGTACTATTTTTATTAAGTTAATATAATATTCTTCAATAAACTAATAGCTAAAACAATCGTCTGTAACATCTTGTTAAACTAAAATAACTTTTCTAAAACGAAATAAAGAAAACGTCATTGTTTTTTTACTCCTATATTCTAAAACTTCAGTACAATGTTTGAAAAAGCGAAAATCCGATTAGATAATTAATATATATTTTCCATTAACATATTGGATTAGCAGTTTTAAAAAAAAGATGAATGATAAGAATGTCGCGTGTACTACATAAAAAAAGAAATTTGAATGAGTCATTGAGAACAATAATACTCAGGCAGTACAATCAGAATACGCAAAAATAAGATTAAATGTATAGCTGTGCGGAATCAGTTTATTTTGAAATTTCGCGGCGTAGTTATATTAACATGCAACACTCACCGACTGGGATAAATTTATCAAATCCCGCCATATTCTTGACTTCCACGTAACCATCAAAATCGAGCGGCAAGTCATTCAGCTCCCACGCGTTCTGAAAATGTTTAATATAAAGATTAGTAAGAAGCACTCGCGAAAACTTATCCATATTTTATAAGAAAAATACTGACAGGATCTACTTCAATTTGCAATGGTGTTTGATATCGTGAATCCAGTGTTCTTTGCTGCATATTTCCATTGAACTCCTTAGGTGTCATGGGGCTATTTCCTGCACTTAATCTATCACAGTAGTTTTGATTATAATCCTCCTTTTTTAATGAATTAGTGTTACTTGTCATAGATGGACTTCTAACTGGTGACTTGTTGTTCTCTCTGTTCCAGTATTGCTCTATGTCTATATGCCTTGGATTCATGTTGCCAATGTTATAATTAACTATTGGTGATAGTCTTCTAGGCGATGAACTCTCACTAAATATAGCAGGGCTACGGACAATACGTAAAGTGTCTTGTGGTGTACTTCCTTCACTTGGCATGTAAGTTTTATCAGACGGTACAGGAGAACTAGATGTACGGTTAATAATAACTGGTGACCGACCAGCTTCAGCATATGACTCTGGCTTTATAAATTGCTGTGGAATTCTGACTGGGCCTATTCTATTTTGTAAGTCTAAGTCGTCTTTATATAAGGCACCTGATTTTGGTTGAGCTTCAGATGCTATGAGATTTTGAAGTTTATTTACTTGGGTTTCGACTAGACTACGCGGCCTTGGTGACAATTCGGGCCTGCTTGAATGTCTGTACATTACAGGATTCGACAACGTTTCTTCTGGATAGTTGATGGAGTCATGAACTTGTGATGTATTATCTGTTTCAGCATCTAAACTATCATGGGTGTCATACATAATAAAGTCTTCGTCCGAATATTCTGTGTCATCGTCTTCACAATCATTGTAGTCAATTGGAGTATCAGCTCCAGGAAAGAAAGCACAAAGCGCCGTCATAATTTCGACTACCTAAAAATAGTAAAATTATAGATTACTATTTTTAAATATTTCTATTCAATTCTAGCCAAAATTACTTACTTTCGCCATACTAGGTCTCTCAGCTGGTACTTTGTGCCAGCATTGTGTCATTAATTGTTCAATTGGCTCAGGACAACCCTCAATAAGATTAGGCCTTTGCCCTGTAATATAGGTAAAGATGAAAGTTAGGTTATATAAATTGTGTGCTTACAACACAGTAATTACTAAAGTTAACATTAAAACACATTTAATTAAAAATGTATGTAACATATTATATCATATTATAATTAATGATACAATTATGAACGTAAAAAACAACTATTGATTCAATTTGGTCCACCCTCACTATGAACCTAGTGACCTAGTTGTATCCAATTATACATAAACACTCACGCTTGTCACGGGGTAGGCAGAAACTACGGACTTCCATTTGTCACGATTCTGACACCCCTCTCTCACCTCCTTTACATCCAAATATCTACGCATACACGCCCTTCGGTTAAAGCTACTCCTAATATGGCCTATTTTCAAAATATCGCCAATTTGGTCGATAAACCTTCGTCTAGGGCGTACCTTCCCGACTCTGCCGTTCACATCTGCAATATAAATTAGCTTTGTCACTCTTTCCTCGTTCATTCTTACAACATGACCAAACTACCGAACCATTCCTTTCTTAATCCTGGTCACAACATTATCTTGCACACAACATTTTTCTCTTATCACATAATTTCTCACGCTGTCATTCAGATTCAGCACTAGCATAATCCTTAAAGACCGCATTTCTACAGCATTTATTCTACTTTCGTGCTTCTTCTGCTTTCCCCAACTTTCACTACCATACATTAAAGTAGGGATTAACACAGCATTATGAATTATAAGTTCAATTTTTATTTCATTCTACTATATCCGATTATAAGTTAAGACATAACTGCTAAATACGTTCTCAATCATGTCAATTCCTATTTTCTTCATCACCCCATAAGAGACCACTGCAGCCACCGCGCTCGTTGTAAGGATTTGGTTTATTTGACACGTTTAGGCTTAACATCGCAGTATCAGACGTGCCACGGTGTTGACCGGCGCGGCGGTTAGTTCTGGGTATTTTACGTCAGACATAAACGTTATGGTATACCACATTCTATCGGTAATCATAAGATTTTTCAGGCGTTTCCTAAAGTCGCGTCTTACCCATGCACACACGAAACAAAAAGTGTGTAAATTATATTACTAGATAATAATTTCGACCCCAAATCAATTTTATTCGTTTCGTAAATATATATGTATTTACGAAACGAATAAAATTGATTTGGGGTCGAAATTATTACTTAATTTTTAGATAAGCGCGATGATAAGGGGTTTACTAATCCGCACATACATTCTTTTGAAGACTGTAGAATCGGACTCTAGGAAACTCAGAACGGGTGGTAGTTATATGTATTGTAATTTGGATTTCGGAAAATCGGTCACGCCACTCCTATTACAACTTCCAAATGTGAAGTTAACAACAGTATTGAAAGATTATAACAATAAAAAGTAGGTATAGAAGCCAAAGAAACTATAAAATATATATGAAAATTATTTTTCAAATTGTTATATTTCGAATACTTACATTTTTCATACTTTGTTGGATAGTTTAAATTATAAAAAATACTATATAAATTAAATGACTTGGAAGTAATATGGATTATGCATTATATTATATTCTACTTTATAAAATTTAATTGAAATTTCTCGGATATATTTTTATTATTACCTGTATGTACCGCCCACATAATCCTAAATGCTGAACCACCTTCTTCAAAAGGCTTCCTTCTAGATAACACCTCCCAAAGAATAATGCCCCATGAAAATACATCACACTTTTCTGTATATGATGACCCTTCAAACACCTGCAAAATAAAAGTAAAGTAAAGTTACAGCCTATATGCGTCCCACTGCTGGGCACAGGCCTCATTTCTGAGAGGGTTTTTAGGGCAAGGAATTGTCCGCCGCGCTGCCCCAATGCGTGTTGGCGAACTACACGTCTTCGAAATATTTTTTTTATTTCTCTGACATGCAGGTTTCCTCACGATGTTTTTCGTCACCGCCGAGCACGTGGTAAATCAGCACTTAAAATTGCAATTAACAATTTCATTGGTGCCGGCGGGGATCGAACCCGGTTTGCTTGCGTACTGTGAAATTTACAGCGAGCGCTAACCATCTGAGCTACCACGGCTCTTACCTACTAAATAATTCTAATAATATAAATAATCTACCTGCAAAATAATTACTTATATTAAATAAACATATATTTTTATTCATCAACCCGTGAAACTCCATGGAGGAACATGAGCTTATCCCGATAAGAAGGATCTGTCATAATGTTCACGCTTGGCACGCGGGTTGACAATTGCAGTGTCAGACGCCTTGCATACCTTTGGACCTGCTCCCTAGTCACCGATCTGGATATTTTACGCCTATCGTAAGCGTGAATCGTAAGCATTTTTTAATACATGAAAATGTAAGCGAGATAGTTATACCGCCATCCATTGAAAGCCAAAAAGATATATCTGACATTCCCTTAGTCGCCTGTTACAAAACCCCTGAGACAAAAAGCCCATGATAAAATGCTCACGTTTTTATCCTGGTATCCTTTGAAAATATTCTTCAATGTTTTGTTGGAATAGTTTGGACCAAGAATAGGACGATTAAATTAGTTATTCGTAATTATATATTATTTTAATGCCCTAACAAATTATATTTACAAAGTAACATATTTAGTTGATGGAGAAATTGGGTGGATAATAAAAAAAATGTCTTCCAAGAAACAACATATTAACCTGTGGTTACAATATGCAAGGTATCAAAGAAATTAACACTTGTAAAATATAGGCAATGTATAATGGATTTATAACGTATTTAGATAATTGTGGAATTTTTAAACAATAACCTGATAATAATCTCTTAAAAACCGGCTGAATGAAAAATCTAGTCCCCATAAATCATTTTACAGACACCCGTGTATCTATGACATCGCGGTTTATTAATATTTTGATGTTATTAGGAAGATGCTGCTACCCAACTCCTCTTTCATTTCTCTCTGTCGTCTTTTACAACATCTACGCAATGATATATACCTATCGATGGGATATTATAGTGAAAACTTAATGGTGTTCAAAAAGAAAAATTTTCTTACTTGCCGTGGCAAAAAACTTAAAATAAATATAGAGTTTTAGCTGTTCACCTTTGCCCTGTGTCTTTATTTATACTTTCCATAATGATTTCTTAAATTTACGCGAACACTACAAATTGAATAAAACTAAATTTACGGATTCTATCGCGTTTAATTAACTACTTTTACTTATTTTAATTCCCTACGTTTCGGGTGCTTTACAGCACCCATGGTCACGGTGGGGACTGAGATGTTTGACGTCCCAATGTCATTGTTAGCCCGGCTACCTTCAGTTTTTTAATATAAATTTTTCGATCCGATCTACGCAAAACGAGCTTACAGTATCTTGAAGTCTTGCATTGGTATGCTTGGGTTTGAGATTAATTTTGTTAATTACGGGATCCCAAGCAGATGGCAGCACCCATCCATCTTCTCTATTGAAATTAAGATGTTTTTTTTAATTTCAATAGCCTCGCGTATCATCCTTGGTAGGAATCGGTGTTCTTTTGCGAGGATTTGTGGTTTAACAAATCTGATGTAATGGTGGGGACGGTCTTGAACATGTTCACAGACTGCAGACTTTCCGGAGCGCCGGTACTTCACGTCAGCTATATGTTCATTCACGCGGGTTTTTATGGATCTTTTTGTTTGACCTATGTAAGAGAGACCACATTCACAATCTAACTTGTACACTCCTGCATCTTGTAGAGGGATATTACACTTGACAGATGGTAAAAATTTACTAATTTTCTTCGGCGGCTTGTAGTATGTTTTAATGGAAGCTCGCTTCAAGATGTAGCCAACCTTGTCTGTGACTCCTCTGACATATGGTAGTACAGCAGGCACACGCTCGACTGTGGCCGGCTTCACTCAGTCACTGTGACGTAGGCGCGGGACCCGAAGCTTGTTGTCTTGCAACACTTGCTTGACGTGCTGAAGCTCGGCGGCCAGATGTTTTCTGTCACAGATCCCTCGTGCTCTCTGAAACAAAGATTTACCCACGGTAGCTAACTGTGTAGGATGATGGTGAGATTCACCATTTAAATATCGGTTGGTATGGTTCTTACACTTTCCAGTCTACAGCCGCAGTCTTTTCAGCCGACAGCACATTCAAATTCAAGATGTTTCTCCTGCTTGGATTTCTACAGCAGCTGTTGTGTGATCACAATGTGTCTCCTCTTCTGCTTGCAACTTTCATTAATTTTATAAGACACGAATTGTTCTCTTCCTATCACTAGTATGCCGCCAAAAGATACTTCGCAACTTATCTAATGGAATTCACACTACTAATGCTGTTCTGACTTACTATTTTGAACTGCAGTAATTTCTATGGTTTAGAATTAATTATAATAAAACTTAGACCATTGCCATAGGTAGCAGATCTATAAGTAAAATTGATTGGCCTTTCATATTCCACATTATATATATTATAATTGGCTGTATATATTCCTTAATAATTCTGAGATAAAAACTAGCATTAAATTTCGACTTTGGCACAGCAGAAAAATCTATGCAGCTTTGATCTCCTTACGTAGGTAGATTACGTAGGTTATTCTTCCAATAGTTACTAAAGTTTTACTTGCTCAGTCTCTACTTCTGCCCATCCCTGACAATTATTCTTGACAAATATTCTTTGCAAATGTGATCATAATATCTCCTAATTTGGCAAACAGCTCAAGCGGCTCTCAATTTGTGTTTGCAAGCACACTCACATTAGTCACTTTTTGTTAAATTAAAAGACCGTTTTCAGTATATCTTTTCCATGATAAGCTCTTTTGATCTTTGCACTCTTCTTTAGGAAATCCTTTACTATCCCTGCTATGCCCTCATAGAATCCTCTTCTGATTTGTCGAGCTAATAGGAAGGAAAGGAAGAAAAGTAAAAGTGAAAGAGTGAATAGGCTTTTGTTACGCTAAGACAATGCGATTTACCATCTAGGCCTTCATCACCACTTACCACGTGTACTTGTGGTCAAACACTAGCTTATAATACGTAAAAAAAAAGATATTAAAGAAAGCATATTCTGTTAAGAGACATTTTACGTGTGCCATGCTGCACTTATATTAGTATAGTTATAGTACAAATGGGTCGACTCGACCGGGGAGAGACCACACTCTCACAGAATACCTTCGTCAAATAGCTTATTGCTGCTGTGTTTCGTATGGTGAGTGAAGAGGCATTCCACCTAAGTCATCTGCATTTTGATTCGTAATCAAGAATAGATGTAGATGTCTATAGGCCACAGCAACCACTTACCATCACCAAAAAAATCTTGTCTTATTGAAAATCAGTTTAGCTTAATTAGTTAACAATAAATTATGCTTAGTTAACATTTAATAATTATGTTATTTATGTAATGGTAAACTATTTTCTTATTACATCTCATAATTTGAGCGAAAAAAAAACTAAAAAAAAATCATGTCAATGTTTTCTAAAATTCAGTTCACCTCCAAATTTTGAATGATTGAATGCTAAAGATTGTTACAATGACTTGATAAAGTTGCCACCTTAATTGATTAAAATTATATTTAGTTAAGTTGGGCAATGTGATATATTAATATTAAATGATGTGGCAACATTTCATTTACAGTTTCACAGATAAACAAGAAAGAAAATTACAAGAAAAGAGCAAATTGTTGTGCTTTAAAAAATAGGTAAAAATTGTTTGTTCACAATGTTTAAATATGCAGTTGTAGTTGTAGTGTATAGATTATTCAACCGTATCCGTTACATTTTATTGATGAAAAAGCTGTACTACTGTTGCTAGTGCTGTAATACACAACTACCTAGTAATTATAAATTAAAATATCAAGACAGATCTTCGTAACCCTTCACCCCATAAAATCCCGCAGTCCAAGTACGTTAAATCCTGAGCGGTCACATGCGACCGCACCCACTCACAGCACTTTAAACCATTAAAACTTATATTTTGAGAATACTTTTCTATGAAGAAGTTTGGCATTATAAAATCTATACAAAATTGTCTATCCTGTGGTCTAAACTAAAGTCAGGTTTTACTTCATTACAAAAAGACTATTGTATTTTGATAACAAAAAACGGATACATACCAAGCAGATATCGGCAGCGTGAAAATCACTATTATATTTCTATATAATAGGTCCTTACATATGAAATTGGCGTTTTGTACGGGAGGAATATAAAGTAAATTTTTTTTGTAAAATATATTTAATTAATCAAAGTATGCACCGTTGTTATCTATGCACTTTTGCCATCTCTTAGGTAGTTCATTGATCCCTTTACTAAAAAACCATGAATCAATAAACTCTTTGAAGGCGGTTTGGACTTCCACATCATTGTAGAATTTTTGAGAAGTGTCCATAACCTGTGTGTGGTCTTGCGTTTTCGTGAATCAGTAGTGACCTAGAGCAATTGAACAATCTTGGTTGTTTAGCAGCTAGTTCTTCCTTCATAGTTTGCAGTTGCTGACAATAGATATCTGCCGTAATGGTTTGGCCAGATTTTAGAAAGCCGTAGTGAATGACACCGGCGCTAGTCCACTAAACACTCACAAGTAACTTTTTCTCAGTCAATTTTCGTTTAGGGCAGGATTTGGCTGGGTCTCCAGGGTTCAGCCATTGCGACGAGCGCTTCCGATTATCGTACAGTATCTACTTTTTATCACAAGTAATGATTAAATTTAAAATCTCTTCATTTTTGTGTCGGTTGAGCAAAGTAACATAGCAGTTGACGCGCGTTGCAAGTTCGATTCACTCAATTCATGAGGTACCCATCATTAAAAATTTTTTACTTTTCTGATTTGCTTCAAATGGATAAATACAGTTTTAACACTTATCCCGAAGCCTGCAGCTATATCTGAAGTGCTTTTTGATGGATCCACTTCCACAATAAAGGCGAAATAAAAGCTTTTAATTCTTCATTTTCCACTATGGTCTCCGGCTAATGGTCCACGAGGCTGGTTCTGAAGGTCGAAATTTCCAGAACAAAACGTTGAAACCAAAAACGTACCGTGCTTTCTTTTGCGACACTAGCGCCATACACATCATTAATCCTTCAAGCTGTTTCTGCAGCACTGGTGCTACGGTAGAACTCGTACTCGTAAATATACTGATATTTCATGTTTTCCATTGTGTGGTAATAAGCGACGCCAAAGAAAAAAAAATTAGGAAAAACAAATGAATGACTGTTTTCAAAACCCAAATGTACCAGCTAAATTAATTTATAAATTTGAATTTGGAATTCTTAACCAGAGGAGATATTTCAGATCAAAGTGGTCAGTACGACAAAATGCTAATTTCATATGTAAGGACCCAATATTACTCGAAAAACTAGAAAAATCTAAAAATCAACAGAACAATACCCAAAAAAAAATGGCGTATGTAATGAACATAGATTATAAATAAATATTCATAGACCAACTCACTTTTTATTGCACTAGAGGATAGAAAATGCCAAACTTCTTCATAGAAAAGTAGTCTCTAAATATAAGTTTTAATGGTTTAAAGTGCTGTGGTGTGCACGGTTGAATCAGACCCCTTGGAATTTGACAGAATATCGCCTTGGTCGAATCTGACCACTTGGGGTTTGAGAGGTTAAGATATTTAAATACTGTGACAAGTTTTGCAGCTTTCTCCATACCTAGTTTATTTTGTATGTCAAAATGAATAAATCAAAATATTGAAAATAGTCTTTCAATTATGTAAATTATTTTTAGAATTAATATTTGTAGATGTGAATTTAGTAATTGGAATTAAAAAAATACTTTTAAGAGTATTTATTATCCCATTTGCCACAAAAGATGTGCGAGATAATAATGGGAAATTATAATAAATACTCTCCATCAAGCCAAAAGAACAGACACAGCTTCTAACGTACAAGGTATTTGGTATTGTACAAAAACTAAAATTTGATTGTCCTGTGGGTGAAGGTATAATAATCTTGTTACAAAATACTCTATTAGTAACAACAAGCAGCACCAAAGATGCAAAACATCTAGTAAAGCAAATGCTGTCACTTGCTGGGAGTAATGATTATAGTAAATTATATGGGAGAGGCAATATCTAAAAGTAATTTTTTTCAAGGTGATGGGAAATAAAAAATTAAAATAAGCTACTTATTATGTTCATATCTATCACTTACCTCAGGTGCCATCCAAGCCGCACTTCCTTTATTATTTGTCATATAAGTAGCTTTATCAGCTGCTGTTCCAAAATCACATATTTTGAGCCGCTGACCACCCCCAACTAATAATAAATTAGGAGGTTTTAAGTCCCTGTGTATTAATGGCTTGGGTTTCATTGCATGTAAATAGGCAACACCCTAAAAATAAATAAAAACACCGTGTAAACACAGAATTTTTTTTTAATAAAATACTTATATAATTTTTTTTAACAAAATAATATATGATATTATGTACTTTTAGTAACAATAAAACAAGCAAAATTCATGTTAATATCTTAAATTATTGTTATTAGAGGAAGCTTAGTGATAGAATTAATATATTGATACATGAGAAAGAAAACCAAGTACTTTTAGACAATATGGATGTTATACCTCAGCACATTGCAGTGCCCAGCTCATGGCATGTGCTGCAGTGTATTTTGGCTTGGGCCTGTTGTGAAGAACATTGTAAAGTGAGCCACCTTCTGCATATTCCATTACGAGGCAAACATGAGCTCCTTTAGTACAAGCGCCATACAGTCGTACGATATTTGGATGTGAAACACGCGATAATTGCCGGACTTCAATAGCAAATTCACGCTTTTCTGCCTCTGAGTTTATGTGTTTCACTGCGACATACGTGTTCCGCCATAAGCCCTTCCATACCACGCCAAACGCACCTTTTCCCACTACCTGTTCATACAATCCCAGTCATTATTATCAAATTTGATCACGAGACCGATAAAACCATTAGTTAATTCTGCTTACCGACAGCTCCTGTATTTCACTATAATCTATTTCCTCAACAAATGTCTGCTGGACCACAGGCGAGTCTTGCACATTGGAAGCCATCGGTAGAATTATTATCACATTATCAAAATGACTAGTTTTAAAAATAAGTATTATCAATGAATATTTGGTTATAATTTCCAAGGAAAGAGGTATAAATAGTTGGTTATATCAATTTTCTCGTTATTGTTTGACAAGGAATAGCAACTGCGACAAGGCCGCCATCTTTGAAACCGTAGAACAAATGTCATTTTGAGTGGTGTTGCACTAAGCAATTATTATCAACAAAAATTACTTTAAAAATATTTCGTCTATATCATAAAATATGGATAGATATTAATCCATATCAATTAGTTTGTGGTTTATATTCTATATCATTAACCAGAATTAATAAAATAAATAGTACTGCAAGCAAAATCAATAAAATTTTGTACGTAATTCAATATGATTTGCTGAATATAGAACGGATTTAACCTTTTTAAGCATAAATTCAATAAATAAATATTCTGCTCGTCTTCAAACACAATATTCAGTGTTTGAGCAGAATATTTCACGCAAGTACACATCATTGGTACGAGGGCTGCACTAAAAGTATCTGGAATGGAATATTTCCACTGTTCCCGTCATATTAAAATCTTTTTAATTGAAAACTCCTTGGTTTTAAAAATGGAATACCATTTATTTATTTAAGAAAAGATTCTCGGTTTTGTCACAAGGTTTTGTCAAACTTGTTTAGTCGTTGAGAAAATGGAATTGACTCGAGAAAATTCAAGAGCGATGATTTATTATGACTTTCGAAGTGGTTTAACACATAAACAGTGTGTTGACCGGATGATTTCTGCATTTGGTGATGAAGCCCCATCCAAAACCATAATTTATCGCTGGTTTGCTGAATTTCAACATGGACGTGTCAAGCTCAGTGATGATCCCCGTCAAGGTGGTCCAAAAACTGCAGTCACCCAAGAAAACGTTAATGCTGTGCGTAAGCTGATTGAGGAAGATCGGCATGTGACATACCGCGAAATTCAGATAACTTTAGACATTGGCATGAGTCAAATACAAATAATCTTGCATGAACAATTAGGTGTAAAAAAAGTTGTTTTCCCGATGGATACCGCATTCGCTCTGTGAAGAGCAAAAAGCGGCTCGCGTTACTTGGTGCGTCAGAACTCTCGAAAGATTCCACGCAGGATCCTCAAATGATGTATACAACATCGTATCAGGTGACGAATTCTGGATATATGCGTACGAACCCGAAACAAAAAACCAGTCACGAGTTTGGGTGTTCGAAAATGTTAAAGCCAACAAAAATTGTTCGTTCACGAAGTGTTGCAAAAAAAAATGGTTTGGCCACGTTTGTCTCCAAAACCGGCCATGTTACGACTATTCCTCTTGAGGGACAAAGAACGATTAATGCAGAATGGTATGCTAGCATTTGTTTGCCACAGGTTGTTTCTGAAATCCGTAAAGAGAACTGCAACCGCCGCATCATCGTCCATGACGACAATGCGAGTTCTCACAACGCACACAGAACAAAAGAGTTTTTAGAGCAAGAAAACATAGAAATATTAGACCATCCGCCGTACAGCACCGACGTAAGCCCTAATGATTTCTATACTTTCCCTAAAATAAAGAATAAATTGCGTGGACAGAGATTTTCATCACCCGAAGAAGCTGTGGACGCCTACAAAACGGCCATTTTGGAGACTCCAACTTCCGAATGGAATGGTTGCTTCAATTATTGGTTCCATCGTATGGAAAAATGTGTCAAATTTAGCGGAGAATACTTCGAAAAACAATAAACACATTTTTAAATAGTAATGTTGTGATACTTCCTTGATTCCCGAAATTTTCATTGCCGCCCTCCTATTCCCACCTGGGTTCAAACGCAGTTGATCACTTGCACTCACAGAATACTGTTACTCCTGGCTTTCAATGGCCTTGTTGTGATAGATTACGTAACTTACTTAGGTACAAACGTTAGCGAAATCTATAATTTTGTAAGTCAACAGTAGTAACATAGACACCTTTCCACTGAAACAGACGCAGTCTCTGTTTCTGTGAGGTCAGTGCCCGCATGTGGTGTGTCCATCCATCCATCTATTACAACCTATAAAAGCCTACTGCTAACCATATGCCTCCGCCATAGATTGCCTCACATGGATTTTGCTATAGTTGAACCGCTTGGCGAGCATGTTGGCAAACGCAGTTTTTTATTGTTTTAATTTATCAGGAAGATGCTGCTGCCCATCACTTGTTTCAATTTCCTTTTAATTTATCAGGAAGATGCTGCTGCCCATCACTTGTTTCAATTTCCTTTTAATTTATCAGGAAGATGCTGCTGCCCATCACTTGTTTCAATTTACTTTTAATTTATCAGGAAGATGCTGCTGCCCATCACTTGTTTCAATTTCCTTTTAATTTATCAGGAAGATGCTGCTGCCCATCACTTGTTTCAATTTCCTTTTAATTTATCAGGAAGAAGCTGCTGCCCATCACTTGTTTCAATTTCCTTTTAATTTATCAGGAAGAAGCTGCTGCCCATCACTTGTTTCAATTTCCTTTTAATTTATCAGGAAGATGCTGCTGCCCATCACTTGTTTCAATTTCCTTTTAATTTATCAGGAAGAAGCTGCTGCCCATCACTTGTTTCAATTTCCTTTTAATTTATCAGGAAGATGCTGCTGCCCATCACTTGTTTCAATTTCCTTTTAATTTATCAGGAAGATGCTGCTGCCCATCACTTGTTTCAATTTCCTTTTAATTTATCAGGAAGATGCAGCTGCCCATCTCCTGTTTCAATTTCCTTTTAATTTATCAGGAAGATGCTGCTGCCCATCACTTGTTTCAATTTCCTTTTAATTTATCAGGAAGATGCTGCTGCCCATCACTTGTTTCAATTTCCTTTTAATTTATCAGGAAGATGCAGCTGCCCATCTCCTGTTTCAATTTCCTTTTAATTTATCAGGAAGATGCTGCTGCCCATCACTTGTTTCAATTTCCTTTTAATTTATCAGGAAGATGCTGCTGCCCATCACTTGTTTCAATTTCCTTTTAATTTATCAGGAAGATGCTGCTGCCCATCTCCTGTTTCAATTTCCTTTTAATTTATCAGGAAGATGCTGCTGCCCATCACTTGTTTCAATTTCCTTTTAATTTATCAGGAAGATGCTGCTGCCCATCACCTGTTTCAATTTCTCTCTATCACCTCATACGACACCGAAGGTACGATAGAGGTAGTGGATATTCTTACACCGCCGTAAATAGGTCTGTAGCTCATATAAGTGGTAAGAATTAGTAAAGAGCTTTCTGTGGGGTTGGCGTGCATAGCCACGCCTGCGGTTAATAAATTTGATTGACTACCACTCTGTTCACTGCAGTACAACGGGGTGTATTTGTCATGTACGCAGTAGAGGCAGCGTAGAGGATCCGTGACGAGACGAGTCGTAAAACAGATTTCTATATCACTTTAAACTATTTATTCAAATATTTAAACTACCAACTGCGTATAAAACTTTTAGTTAGCTACTTGGTGTTCGCATCTAATAAAATCAATAGAACATACTTCTGTGAAGGCAACATCAAATAGCGACGACTATGGTGACGATTCAACATTGTTCATTTCATTTGTTTGTTCAATCAGTTTTTATCATGACAGGGTACTGCGGAAATGCTCACCAGAACGTAAATTAAAAATTAAATCGATACCTCTAGTAGGATATGATCGATTGCATGAATTTGAACAGAAGTGTATCTACCTTTGTAGAGGATTTGGCATAATAGACAAGTGTGGATGTCAAATTAACGATCAAAGTATAAAGTGTTTTGCATCTTTCACGCTGTTTTCCGTCTTCGACCTAGGTACTTTACGCCTATCGGAAACCATAGGATATTTCCGGCATATCCTGTAGTCGCCGCTTACGAAACCAATGGGACGAAAACGGGTGATGGATACTCTTACGCCGACACCATACAGTTGAAAGACCTTAGGACTGTGCCTGTGGACTGTGCTCAATAAAAAAAAAGTTTACATTATCGAGAATACTTGTATTTTCTCGAAATTATTATTTTAAAAATAAATTAGTGATGAATATGTGTACCTACTACACAGTCTAGGGCATAACGTCCGACTAGACTAGCTTTCATCCTCGGTTTCTCGGTCGCGTTGTTAAAAGAGGCTCAAACTCGGCTTGGCCACATTCGCCAAAAAGAGCACCACATCTTAACGACAATACTTCTCAAAAGAAAAAAACAGAATCTTTTAACAAAATTACACAACCAATTATAACTTATGAAACTGAAAGACGTGCTTTTTTACTGTTATCTGTATGTGGAAACTCAAAGTTACTCAGCGAGCCACGTTGAGGAGGAATAATAGTGGACTCCCACTATTATACCTCCCATTCACAACCAAGGTGGTATGAGGGCTTGGCGACTTTTGGCAGCTCCAACAGCGCAGCGGGTAGTTATACCGAGTGTCTTCATCACGATGCGCTTTTAGATCGCCGTCGATATGTGGTAGCGGAGTCATTAAGCAGATCCACCGCTACGGACGCCGCCTTGGCCCTCTCGTAGTGGCCTCTTAAGGATTCGTTGCTTATGTGGAGATGTAAGCCTCGAGGAAAAGTTAATTAGGTTGCTAAGAAGGAGAGAAGAGTTTTTCTGACACTAGGTTGTCGAAAATATCCATAAGGACATATTTCTTTTTTAAGTAAAAACAAAGAATTCAAACCATTATCGCATTTTACTGACATTATTAACACCGTAATATTTTCTGAATATGAAAACTTTTTCAAAGGCTGGAAATGTTGTTCAGTTGAAGCTAAAATTTCAGTGAAATTATAAAGGTCTGTTTTTAACGTATAGTATCTATATTAATAAAAAATATAAAGCACATAAGTTTATTTTTATTTATTAGTACCTACTTCTTATTATTCCATCAGTCCATAGCAATCTTTGCTCGATACGGGTCTACATATCTAGTCTGTACTTAGAATTTTAAAATCTTTTAAATCAGTAATTACGTATATATGAGAGCTTTACAAATTCTTTACTTAATGTCTGTATTCACATTAACTTCATTTTTAAGATAGTTGCCAAGACCATACAAGCTGATAGAGTGTGAAGACTGAGTGACTATAACTACTATTTTTTTATTTGTTTTCTGTAAAAATATTCCAGGTTTTCCAGGATTTGTTGCGCAATTGTTTTAAGTCTACTACTAAATCCATATGGCTCGGCCACACTGCTCCTCGTGCTGCTCATCGCTCTGCTCCTTTCGCTGTCGCGATGTTACCCTATTTGTCCACACTCTGCTCTACTCGTGCAATTAAAGAATTAGATAAAAGATAAGTATATAAAAACTGACAAACAAAATTTCAATTTCTTACGTGGAATAAATAAATACATTTGATTTATACCATTTATTTTATTTCATTTCATTTCAACAGGTTGATAATATCCAGAGTGTAAAGGGAAAAGAAAAACCTTCCCAATATAGGAAAGGCTTATGCCCAAGAGTGGACTGTTTGTGGACTGATGACAAAGCAGAGGGAGAGCATAATTGTCTAAGATATAACGCTTCTGACAATGTCATCGCAAAATGGCCTACCAAACATTTTGATATCAAGAAAAGTAGTCTTTTGAGAGAGCCTAATTATATAATATATGATTTGCAGCTATAAAGTAAGTTTTAATGTTGTGTTAGTTGAACTGATTTCTCTGTACAAAGCTTCCAATTGGTTCAAAACTGAATATGCTTTCCTGCATTTGAAGGCTAACGCTACTTCTTTAGGTGTTTCATTGCGATGGTTTACGAGAAACAAGTCGGCTCCAAGGTCAACTAAGACGTGAATTAGTTCACAGTTGTCACTCATAGCTGCAAAATGGAGCCCTTGACGACCACCTGGAGATTTTGGATCATTAATAAGACCTCCCTTAGTTGTAAGCAATTGTAGTATCTTCACTTCTTCCTCTGTCGGAGTGCTCATCATGACAAATTCTGATGACAAAACGTATTATTTAAATGATGATTAATAACATGAAGATTCATTAAAATTTAATGATAAGATGTTTTTTATCGTTCTTTCACGCTACAGTGTAATATAGCTACAGCAATAAAAGCAATTGGTTCGACTCGTGTTTCATACAACGAGAAAGGCCCTTTTTACTGTTACTTGGCATTCAATCCCAGTTGCCGGGGATATTACGAGTAAGATTATTCTTAAATCTTTGATTCTTTATCGAGGATAGATGGAGATTTCAATGAGCCACAACTCTAAATTAGTATCAGGTGGACTGTAATGATCACTTGTCACTCGTACTTCGTTATAATGATGTTTAAAAATTTGAAACACAAAGTTTAAAGAGTAGTTTTATTTGTGAATATTAACATGACAAGAGAGCTGTACAGACGCAATTATCTCGCAATCCACACGTTGCATAATCTCGGCCTAAACATTTCAGAGGTGTGACTAAGATGCCCGGACGAGTGGCAAATAGTACCTGGGCACCGGGGCTAATCGTAGTTTCTTAAGCGTTTGATTGCACCAAAATAAATACATGGTGCAGCTGAATCATCTGTTTTGTACTCCATCCAACTTTATTCAAAGGAGCGATCGATAGAATTACGAAATATAAATTTATTTTACCCTGTACTTTCGTAATGTTGATGAAGTGAGATAATAAAAAAACATTAGCAAAAATTTTAACAAAATTGCTACCAATATAATTAGATAGAAATTAACTTTCACAGAAATATTTATTTTTCTACTTAAAAGGAACTTACAAGATAGTTTATATTTTAAACGAATTCGCGAAAGCGGGTTTTGGAAAATTAAAACATAGTTTAGCACCTTTAGCGCTGCATCCCGTCGTCGAGTCGGGCGTAAACGGGATGGTTATGCTAACCATCTATAAGAAGCCATGTTCTTTTTGGGATTTCCCATTTTCGCATCTTACGATACCCACAAGATAAAAATGTAATGGTACTTTCTCTTACGGAAGCTACACGCAGCTATAATAAAAAAATGAAAAGCACGTTTTATTTTTTGTTGCAAACATGTTTTTAAGGGTGACCTGGGAAAACCTTGAATGTATTGGTCAAGTTTAGCAACTATGACAAATATACTCCTATTCTATAAAGCAACGTATGAGAAACATCTATTTTCAGCAGTGAACCTTGTTGATGAAGCAGTAATGATGATGATGAAATTATATGTAGTTTTATGTTTTGTTTAGCAATGTCTGACAAAATTGAGATAAACCACAGGATAATACAACTTGAAATATATTAATTACTAATAATAGGTAATTTAGAAAGAAAGATAGTAAGAAACTTATCTCACGCATCAAACTTATCAAAAATGCAGATTTATTTATCGTGACCTAGCTAGATAATATCTAGCAAAGCCAAATTACTATAAAATGTTTGGTTCTCATCTCTGTGCCTGAGTACTCCAGCGCCAGCTCTGTTCACTTGATCGCATCCTACGAAAAGTGGCTCGAATCGTCGACAAAGTTCCTTCTGATTCGTTAAAAGGAGGTACTTTTGCATTTTATAAATATTCACCGCGGGAAGCGCTCAGAAGAATTTTTTAGATTAATTCTTAATTCCACCATCGCACAATCGTAACATTCGTGATACCATTCCCATCATCTGCGTGTTTGGCGGTCTACTCTACGATTTACCAAAAGTTTTCTTCCTTGCAGGGCTTTTTGTGGAATCGGCTACTACTAGCAAATTTTTCCGGACCAATACGACAAGGGATCTTCAAGAAAGAGCCTACTCCTATATAAAAGGCGGACAACGTATCTGTAATTCCTCTGGTCTTGTAGTTGGTCATTGGCTTTGATGGTCACTTTTTATAAAGTGAGTCGTGCCTGCTCGGTGGCCCCTACTTCTACAAAAAAAATATGGAACTTCCGTTTGGAAGTTTCATCCGAACGCTGATGGTAAATAACTATTGCTTTTGAGAAGATTGAGAAGAACTCACAGGCGATGTCTGTCGGAGCCAAACAGGGAAAGAGTATGATCTCCAATGATGCGGCGAGTGTATTTGCGGAATCTCCTCCCTGAGATTGTAGGTGGAGTTCCTTACGTCCATGTTTGCTGTCTCAAAAATTAGAAAAATTGCGGAAGTTCTACCTCTAACGGTTTATGCTTGTAAAGTGGAAAGAACTACTGTCGTACCCGAGAGCAGAAGCAGAACTGTCTGTCGAGTCTTTCCTGTCGAACTGAAAGAATAGGTTTATTTTAACAGTACTAATTTCCTTCCTTAACCATTGCCTTCCCAAAATAAATTTATTCAAGTTCTATAAAAAGTAGAAATCTGTTGGCGTGGGGACTGGTGAGTACGGCGGTTGACGGAGAGCGTTGGAAGCTCTTGTAACTTGAAGATTATCTGTTGTGCAGTGGGGATGAACGATTGACCAAAGCTTGTTGGAGACGTGCGGGCTTCACACTGGCTCTAGACCAACAAACAGTGACTATAACTTTTCTGGGGGTAAATTTTCATATAGGGCATTGTTTAGGTGCTGAGCCAGGATCCAACAAACTTACTGAGCGCTTGCAATTGTCAAACATAATCCATTTTTCATCGCAGGTAACAATGCGGTTCAAAATTCCTTCGATTGTGTGTCTGTTGAGCAGTTCAAGGCACGTCACGCGTACTTCGTGCTGTCGAACATTGAGTTCGTGGAGCACCCATTGTTAAGTTTTTTACCTTGCCAATTTGACGCAAATGATGAAAAAACAATATTGGTCATACTGTTTTAATGTCGAAAGCTGCTGTTAATTCAGCCGTAGATTGAGTACCATCAGCTAACACAAACGCATGTAACTCTTTATTGTCGATCAGTTTTCGGACGACCACGGGGTTAATTTTTCAGGTCAAAATTTCCAGAATGGAAGCAGTCAAACCAATGACAGGTGGTATGTTCGTTTGTAGTACTTGCTCCGTAAACGTCTTTGATGCTGTGTGCCCCTTGTGCCGCGTTGCTGCTACGACGGTACTTATATTATTATACTACAATTTTTAAAGTATAAATAATGACCATTATTTAAACTTTAAAAATTGTAGTATAATAATATAAGACCCCCGTATCGTCCATGATGATGACGAAAAAGATTCAAATGTGATGAAAACATTACGCTAATCATTAACAAATGACTAAAGAAAAAAGAATTCCATGCTTATTTAAATAATTTGAAATTAGAATTCTTAGCCAAACAAAAATTATTTTGATTTGAAATGGCTGGTACTGCGGAACGGCAAATTCATAAGTGAAGACCTATTATAAAACAAGGAGTTTTAGTTTAATATTGAACAACCCCTCTCGTCTCTGAACAGATAGATGCCTACGAAACATATTAGTAATATTGGTAGCTATAAAACAGTAAGCGACCCAGTTCGCATGTGTACAAATTTATCAAAGTGTAAGCGATTAATTAAAACAATTTTATGCTAATTGGACGCCTTTGGTTTAACACAGGCCTCTAATCTAAGGGTTAACACTCTATCTATATGGATAAATAAGCCAGTTTTAGGTTTAAATTTACATTGAGAGACTCAATGCTCAAACAAAAAATGACAGGACGGAAAACTGGGCAAATTTGAAGAGACGCCGAAACAAAATCAAAACCATGGTCATCTTATTGTAAGAACCCACACCTTCGATCAATAAGAAATATAGATGTTTACGTATGTACAAATGTAGCCACTTGAACGACTTGTTTTTGTTCCTGATCCTTAATCCAGTACTTATTATTGAACAAAGGCACACACTCAAACAAATATGTGCATCATTTGCATCGAAACGTGTGCGTTCAGCAGTGGGTTAACGAAGGAAAAAAGAAAAAATTGGTTGGCTCTGAAGGTCATCCCTGGAACTTCCCTCTAATTTCAAATGCAAAGCCTCCAAATTTCACCAAATTATGATGTTGAATATGAAATATCAGAGTAATTTAATAAAATCATTTTTTCAAAATAAAAAATCAATTTTATAAAATTTCCGTAGGTCAAAAATACAGTGTTAAACTTACGAAGAAATAAACCCGTATCCATAGGGCTTGTCCTCGGCAAGATTTTAGCTCCATGATCAAAGAGAAGGTTTATTCTTTTTAAAGAAGGCCTGTAAAAGAATAAAAATTAAAATCTCGGTTGAAAATTCGCGAGATCAATATAATGTTAAAAATATTTTGATCGAAAATCTTGTACACAACGTGTAGCTACTTAGTATTCGCGTAATTATAAGAAAATATTGAAGATTACATCTTCGGACTTAATTCAATTAATGTTCAATAACTTTAATGAACTCTCTGATGTAGTTATTGGCTTTTTGGTTTCATCATACAACTTCCTCTACTGATGGGAACAGTTGGAGTCTGAGTATATGATGCACCGCTCAACGATAAGCTTATCTACGTCCTTCCATCTGATACAATATGTATTATTACTAATTATTAGTAATTTTTTTATTAATCTTAAAAAAAACCATAGATTACCACAGATGAAAAAGATTCATTAAAAATTTAAGATTGAAGATAAGATAAGAACATTTTTATTACATTTTCGTCTCATCCATGTGAGTTTATAGTTTATTTTAGTTTGTTAATTAATTTACAAAAAAATTCGGTGTCCAGTAACTTCCATTCACTTTACCATAACTGTCTTCAGCTCGAAGGACAATGATTCCTCATTATTTTTTTGATTGATTTGTTTTGATTTGATCACACAATTAACCAGTGACGAACTGTGTTTTAAGACTATTATAATTTCTTAATTAGTGTAGATAGTGTCTGCGACAAAGCATAATATAAAACACAGCAATAAAACACAGTTCGTCACTTGGTAAAAGTGACGAACTGTGTTTTAAGACTATTATAATTTCTCAATTAGTGTAATTAGCGTATTAACTCATATTAGAATATAATTTAAATATAATTATAAAATTTAAAGTTTAGCTTTTAATAATAATTTTGTAAGGAAGTTTTTAAGCGAAAATTTGTATTGTAAATACTTATAAATAATTATAAAAAATTTAAGTTTGGTTTAGCGCTTGAAAACTAGTGTTAGATTAAAGGTTCAAATGTAACATAATGTAAACAAAAAGAAATAAGTAGACATCTGTTTCAATAAATATAAGACAAAATGTATAGTAAATTAACAATTTTGTAGTGTTTTATGCTCTAGAAGTTTTGTATAAAGAACTTAATAGTTTATATTGTTATTTTATATTATAGAACAGTACTAAAGCAATCTAACAATGTATAAATTGTAAGAGTTATGTGAAAGTTTAATAAATAAAGGCTCCTAAGGTTTCGGCTCGAAATAAAAACAACACGCTTCGTATTGTCATCTGCACAGACTGCTTGGGTCCTGCGGGTCTCGGGCCTCGGGGTAAGCCCCCATTGCACGGATTGTCCTCGCGGTCCACTACTATGGACCGGTCCTGGGAGCCTTATTCAGGCGTTGTAGGTTGAAAAATCGGGTTTAGTCCGTAATTGGTAAAGTTTTTCGTAGTCGGTTAAGACTACGAAAAAAGGAGGTTAACCTGAGATGTCAGAGTTGGCCTATCTGCGGCATTGTGGGTTGTTACTCGACTCTCTAATCGATATAGAGAGGAGTTTTCTTGGATAGGGTCGCCCGTCCGGAGGGCGAGTGTGTAGCGGCGCTAGGTTGTTAAGATGTAAGTGTGGCCCGTTGTCTGCGCGGTCGAACAGTCCGCGCGCCAATCGGGCCACAAATTCCTGGATGGTTTCGATCTTCAGGTTGGCCGCTATGACCTGATGATGATGTAGCGACCCGCACCGACAATGGTTCTTAACGTCTAATTTTGCTGGGCCTGCAGTCGCCGCCTCAGAGGCTCGCTCAGAAGCGCGTACCAGGCCGGAGCAGCGTACGTGATGATGGGTCTAATGTACAATTTGAAGATCTTCACTTTGGTCTTAAGTGGTAACTTGGATGCCAGGACCGGACGGAGCATCGCCCGCGCACATCGTGCTTTGCGACGACGAAGTCGACGTGTGCAGTCATGCGCAGCGCCCGGTCGATCCGGCACCCAAGGTAGGTCACGGCCTTCTCGTACGCGATCTTCTGGCCATTAAGGGTTAGCGGAGGTGGTAGGTTCCTGAGGCGGCGGGTGAGCAGAGCGGTCTTACCAACGTTGACGACCATCCTCCACTCATCTAGCCATGGTGGCAACAGGTCCAGCAGACGTTGCATCCTGGCAGTGGCAATGTGGGCTCTTCTGGACGAGATGAAGTAGGCGCTATCGTCCGCGTATAACGCCAATTCCACGTCGTCCTCCCACTCTTCTCTCTCCTTCTCGGTCCTGTGAATTAAGGTCGTACAGCACCTCTACCACTATCGGGTAGTTGACGTTCCTAGAGAGCACGATGTCCAATACATACGGACGTTTCCGTGAATCTGTCGGAACGTGTGTAGGTTCTTCGGGACCTAAGACGTCATAGCTGTATCTTTCAGCGTCTTCAAATAATGCATGACCCGGCGGGTTGATCACTCTGGACCCTCACGCCGGGTGTTTGGCGTTTAGGTCCCCGGCGATGATGGTGGGTGTTTCGCCTTCCATTATCGTCCGGACGTCTGAGGAGCAGAATGGAGTCCCTGGCGGGCGGTATGCTGCGTAGATCCTTAGTTCCTCGCCCGCCGCCTCCATTTTTATACCGATAGAGCGCATCGTTTGGTACTCCGGTAGTTCGAGTTCTTGATGGACGATGTCCCTTCTCACTAGAACCGCCGTCCCTCTGTAGGCGGCCCCTTGAGAAGTGACCTCGTCCCTCCTGTACAGGTGGTAGTTGGGCAGCTTTACGTGCGTATTCGGGTTTAATTTCGTCTCTCCCAGCAAGATGAGCTGTATGTCTTGTTGTTGGGCGACAGTGCGGAGTTCATGCAGCTTCTGCTGGATTCCATCCGGGTTCTAGTAGAGGAGGCGCAGGTTAGACTCCTCCGTAGTGCCGTGCCAGGAGGTTTGCCAGCGCCTTCATCACCGCTGTAATAGGATCTGTCCCGGCTCTAATGTCGGCCAGGACCTGACTGCCGACTTCGATTGCTATGCCAACCAAGCGGTGGATGGCGTCAGCAGTCTCGAAGCCGGCTGATGGTTTCTCGGAGCTTATGAAGGCGTTGGCACTGGTCTCGGATGTTAGTGTACATCTCTTTGATTCTGGGTAGAGCGCGCTCTATATGTAGAGCGGGCTCTATTTTCCGATAGAGTCCTGGCTAAAACCCTCCCTATCCTCCACGTTGTACAGTCTTCCTGGATTTGTACTTATACGTTCTTGTATACGTTGGCAAAGGTGGAGGTGGCGTAGCCATTTACTTGCGATCGGAATATGCATATGATGTCATTGCAATATCACCATCAGAATATAGAGGATCTGCTGAGTACCTATTTCTAGAAGTAAAAATTAAGGGTTTGAGGGTCGTGCTCGGAGTTATTTACTGCCCTCCTTCAACTGATTATTTTTCCCATATTGAATCGGTAATCGACTCCATCAGCACAGATAACAAACATATTATAATAATGGGTGATTTCAATACCAACTTGCTAAAGGATTCTCCTCAGAGTCGCAAACTTAAAGCCATCATGGACTCGGCAGATCTCTATATTCTACCATCTAGTCCAACTCACCACAACGTGGACACCGCAGATTCATGGTTAGACATCATTTGCACTAGTTCAGCGGATCATGTTTTATGTCATGATCAACTGACTGTTCCCGCGTTTTCTCGACACGATCTTTTGGTCATGTCGTATAAATTAAAGCCTCCCAAGCCAAAGTCAGTGATTGTGTATTTACGCAATTTCAATAAAATTGACACCATTCGACTACACCGCGATGCTAAGAATATAGAATGGGGCCCATTGCTGGATGCAAATAATATGGAAGACAAAATTGCTCATTTGAACACCCAAATTCTCAACCTGTTCGATAGGCACGCACCAGTTCGAGCAGTCAGGTTACGCCGACCTCCTGCACCGTGGATAACTGACGAAGTGCGTAGAGCAATGAGAAGAAGAGATCGAGCTTTTCACATTTTTAAAAAGAATCGGAACAGTACCACCTTTCAACAATATAAGCGAGCACGAAACCGTTGTAATCAGGTGGTAAGAACAGCCAAACGCCGCTACTTCCACAATAGTATTTCAAACTCCTCTTCTGCAGATATATGGAAGTTCCTTAAATCCCTGGGATTTGGAAAATCACATTCCAATTCTCTAATCCCAAATATTTCACTCAATGACTTGAATATACACTTCTCTTCTGCATCACGTCTGCATTTGACCACCAAAGCTACGACTCTCCAGGAACTTAATTCCATGTCTTTGTTATCATGTAATTCTTTCGACTTCAGTTCAGTGACTGACGATGATACTAGAAAAGCCATACTTTCAATAAAATCCGCAACCGGATATGATGAGGTGAGTAGACCTATGATACTTCTCATACTCGATATTGTTACTCCAGTTCTCACTCACATCATCAATTTCTCCCTCTCTACTGGTATTTTCCCTAAGTTATGGCTAAAAGCTTTTATCTTGCCTCTTGCGAAGGTACCCAATCCATCCCTACCCTCCCATTTTAGACCTATTTCTATACTGCCGTTTCTTTCCAAAGCCCTTGAATCATTGGTACACAAACTAGTCACCTCTTTCATTTCGAAATGCAACTACCTTAGTACATATCAATCTGGCTTCCGCCCGGGACATAGTACCACCACAGCTTTACTTCAAGTTACAGAAGATTTTAGAGAGGGCATGGAGAGGTCATGTTTGACTGTTCTTGTCCTTATTGACTTTTCAAACGCATTTAATTGTGTCGATCACGACTTACTCCTTGGATTACTTTCACGCCTAAACTTCTCCCCGTCAGTACTGAACTGGTTTTCCTCTTATCTTCGCGGTCGCCAGCAGGCTGTTCGGGCTGGTCAGGATTTTTCCGACAGGTGCGATCCATATCTAGGTGTACCGCAAGGCGGCATTCTCTCTCCTCTCTTGTTTTCGTTGTTTATCAATCTTCTAACTACCCACCTTCAATGTTCTTACCACCTATACGCTGACGATCTTCAGTTATACTCACAAGCGTCCTCGGTTGAAATTGCTACCGCTATTGCAGCTATTAATCAGGACTTACAACGCATTTCAGACTGGTCACAGCGATTAGGTATAACGGTAAATCCCAGTAAATGCCAGGCTATTATCATTGGTAGTCGTTGATTGGTGTCACAACTTAACATACCTGATCTACCATCCATTTGCTATGAAAACTGTGTAATTCCTTTCCGCACTAGTGTCAAGGATCTGGGTTTAATTATTGACCCGACCCTTAGTTGGAGGTTACAGGTGTCCGAGATTTGTCGTAAAGTCACAGGCAGTATGCCTCGTTCCATCTATCGTCTTAAGTTCTTTCTGCCTCCTTCAACTAAGCTTCTACTCATCCAATCTCTAATTCTTCCATTATTTGACTATGCCGATGTTTGTCTTTCTAATATCTCTCAGGAGCTGCTAAGCAGGTTGGACAGGTTACTTAACAACTGCATACGATTCATCTTTGGTCTGCGCAAATACGATCACGTATCAGAATTTCGCTCCCAATTAAAGTGGTTGACTATTCGGCAGCGCAGAGATTTTCGAATGCTGTCCTCTCTGTTTTCAGTTCTTAATGATTCTTCCTCACCCTTTTACCTAAAAGAAAGATTCCAATTCCGTAGTGACACTCATTCTCTCAATCTCCGGTCTTCACACAATTTATTACTGTCTACTCCTCTCCACCATTCTGGGTTTATGTCAAATTCTTTCACATTAACTTCCATCTCCCTCTGGAACAAATTGCCTGTTGACCTGCGCATAATACCTGCTAAAAACGTGTTTAAAAGAAAACTATACGAATATATCCGTAACCAACAAATTTGAGTCCACTTACTTTATATGTTTATAGTTATTTGTATATAAATTTATGGAGATATATATTTATGTATGTACATGTGTATGTATATATGTATATATATATATATATGTATGTGTGTGTAAGTGTATATAATATATATGTGTATATATATTATATGTATGTGTAGCATGTACATTTTGAATTGAATGAGATCATGACATCTTTACTGCCCATAAATCACTCTCTGTTCTACCCAAGGTTAGCTGGTAGAGAATGCCATATAGCATTAAGCTCGCCTTTTGTACAAAATCATTGGTGCAATAAAGAATAAAATAAATAAATAAAATAGAGCCCTTTCTGGCACTCTACCCATTCTGGTTTTCTTCTGTTTGGTAACCTGCGCCTGGGCTAACGTTACCGCGTACGTCGCGTACGTAGTTGCACTCCACCCGTATGACCCTTCTCCTCTCTGCTCCAGATCAACAGCATCCATGCTGGTAAGGTGATCCGGTGATCTGGGAGGGGTTGGTTTCGTCGGCGATGGCGATTTTGGTGGTGATCTGCGGATGGGTCTTTCCGGTTGATGTTGGTCGTTTTCTTCCTCGGACGTTAAGTATTCCGAGGAGTAGGTGGATCCGAAGCATTGCCTATTCTCCTGTAGGGATGCTGCTGTTTCGGGTGCAGTGTGCCTTCTCAGCGTCTTCTTGGGCCGCCGTTGCTGAGGGAACGGTTCACGCCCAGTCGTACACTCAGGTACGATGGGCGAGAGCGCGGTCCTCGGTGCGAGCTCCTTGCCCAGCGATGAAGGCTTACGGGTCGGGATCTGAGAGTAGGAGAACACTACTCTAGTCCGTTCCGGGTGTAATATATCCCTGTACGCTATATGTCTTTCTAAAACGCCAGGACGGTCCGGTGGTTTTCTGGTTTTAGGTGGGGGCTCCCCCTTGTCTTTATCGGACATGATAAGAACCTACCTAATGTGAGTCGGGTAATCTAATTTAAAGCCCTATCTATAATACCAGCCGATCAGCGGCTGCGCGACGCGGATGGTAGGGATGGTAAACGTTGGCTTCGTCACCTTGGGCACTGCCTACCAGTTTTATATCAAAAGGGTTGGGGGAAGTGCGGTGGTGGCACTTTAAACGCGCGACTAGGCACAGTAAGCACGGAGCGCTTTAAAGTGCCTAAGAATCTGCCTAGGGGTCGGTGACCTCGACGCCTCACGGAATCAGCGGACTCGACGATCGGCGGAGTGTGTCGTACCGGCGGTTGTATGTGGCCACTGCTAACCACAAACAACGCACACCTGGGAGATTCTTGATAAACAACACGCGAGACAGGGAAAACCACGCAAACGTCCGTACGGTAACGCCGGCGAGTATAAAAGTCGAGCAAATTTCGGCTCAAATCGCAATCGTAGCACAGCCGTCGAAGAGGCTACAACAACAAGGAAAAAGGAAGCCGAAACCTAAGGAACAAGAAGCTACCTAGGAAAAAAGTGTTTTAATTGCCTCCTCCCGGCTTATCGTCTATCTCTCTCTCTCTCTCGAGGTCCCAATGGGGTCGTATTATACATACGCATTCAGGGGTGCGTGGGACGTGCGTCACCAGCACTAAGCAAGGAACGTACGTCATCAAGTGGGAGATTGTCCCAAGGCGACTGCGGGCACTGGACGTGTCCCTGCCGTCCGAAACAATCGAGTTCAACAAGCGTTGTGATGGACATTTTATAATTTGAAAAATTTATTCAACATGGATCCGCTTCTTTAGAAACCATGTTTCGGATCATTGTCTTATCAGAAAAGAAAACTATGTACATAATAATGTCTTATATCTACGCAAATACTACACATGGAATAAAACTTATTTTACGGATTTTATCGCGTTTAGTTTTAACTTTTTTAATTCCCGATATTTCTGGCACTTTGTCGCGGGATTGTGGGGACTGAGGTATTTGATGACCCAATGTCATAGTTAAGGAAGGCTAACTTCAACTTTTACTTCAACTTTCGGCTCGCCGCTCACTTAGCGGTCAGTCGCCGTAGAGTCTACATTACTTGAAGATGCCTCGTGTAGAGGCGAAACACGTGTCGTATTGTCGTCGATGGTGTGTCTTGCCTGGAATAGTGGTGTTGGAAGTAGTGGTGCCGGGAGTAGTGGTGACGGAGTTAGTGCATGCAATTGAGGGAGGGCGGGAGGTGCTCTTCAATCCAGGTAAGACACATCATTGTAATTGGTTAGCGGAAGGTTGCAAAGTAATAAATTATTTATTATAATGGATTTCCGCAAAGTAACGCCTGATTCTATCAATTATGGGATCCATAAATTGTAGCACCCAGGCATCTTCTCTATTGAAATTAGGATATCTTTTAATTTTAATAGCCCTACGAATTATCCTTTTCAACACTTGGTGTTCTTTTGCAAGGATTTGAGGTCTATCGAATATGATATAATAGTTGGGACGATCCTGAATATATTGCAGAATCCCTGAACGTCGGTGCTTTACATCAGCGATATATCCTTTCTGTTCTTAATCCATAAAATCCCACAGAAATGAAAAAAAATCTTAATTTCAATAGAACACTCGCCAAGCAATGTAATGTGAAACATTAGATATCATTGTGCATTGCGTATGTTTATAATACGGTAAGATGTGACGATATCGGTTTTGGAAGTGATCGAGCGCTAATTCATTTCTATTGTCTTATTATTATTACTATTACTTTGTGGCAACTATGGGAAATATCCGCCCAATAAGGCAAGTTTATTTAGCAATGGATTTTTGAAAGCCTGTAATGAATATTGAATGAATATCCTTTTTACCGAATAAGCATAGGTATTTCTTGGAATATCAAGTCTCAAAATAGTGTGCGATATTTTTCTTAAAAAGTTTTTAACCTTCTCATTAGACAAATTGAGAGCGGTGTCATGCCCACGTTGTCTTTCACATTTGTAAAGACTCCAGCATTTAGAAGCATATGAAGTGCTTGCTCGCTGTCAGTGCAGACTACCAAATGAAGAGCGTTCCTCCCCAGGTGATCCCTTTGCTGTACGTCAACACCTTCCCTTGAAAAATATTGTTGGTTTGTAAGTCAATAGTAAGATATTCTGTTATACTTACCTAATAATATACAATAAAACGTTCAATAGATGTTTAAATTTCTCAAAGGTTATATAATACTCATATACACCGATTAAGAGTAAGGATGTATATATTTATACACGTTATATAAATTTCAAAATAATAATAATAAAGCCTCTTTAATACTTAATAGAAAAAATAATTACGCTTAGAAAATAAAATCTAAGGACCCCTCTTTGGGTAAAGACCTCCTCCAACTTTCCCACTCTTTTCGGTTCTGTGTGTGTTAACCAATTTTTTCCTGCTGCCTTTTCAATCTCATCGACCCATCTTTCTTTCGGTCTTCCTTGCTTGCGTTTGCCTGTTGGTCCTGTCCACATGGTTGCTCGTTTAGTCCATTTGGTATATGTAGATCGTGCTACATGACCTGCCCACTTCCACTTCAGGTTTTGAGAGTAATATCGTCCATCATCGTCATTGTTTTTGTATTTATCTTTTAGTTTTAGGTTTAGGATACTTCTTTTCATTGCACGTTGACATGTTAGTATTTTATTCCTTGTTTGTCTATTGAAGATCCATGTTTGGCAGCCATATGTGAGACAGGGAAGTATGCAGCCATCCATAACTTTCCTTTATAAATTTAGCAGTAGATCTGCTTTGAGTACCTCTTTGTGTTTCCAAAACTTATTCCAGGTTATAGCAATGCTCCTATCGATTTCGTTTGCATTTCTAGAATTTAAAAGATATTTGTTTGTCAAGGTGGTTATAATGGTCTACATATTCAAGCTCTATGTCATCTACTTTTACTGCCTTCGTTTTTCGGTGTTTAGTTTTAGGCCTATTTTTGTGCTTACATTGTTAATTGCTTGTATCATGGCTTCAAGTTTTTTATGTGGATCGGAAAAGATAACAATATCATCGGCGAAGCAAAGGTTGTTCAAATAGTTGCCATTAAGATTAACTCCTGCTTTATTCCAGGATAGGTCTTCCATAATGTGTTCTAGTACCGCTTGTCTTTCTTCTTGTTTTACTCCTCTACGTATTTTGATCTCAGGTTCTGTACGATCAAGTTAAACTCGGCTTGTGCTTTGTTCATAGATAATTTTTGTGATAGCTATTTATGTTTGTGGTATTTTTTTCTGTTTGTGAGTCGAATGCTTTTAAGTAGTCTAAAAGTCCGAGATATAGAGGTTTACTGAACTCTACAAATTTTTCAGTTATTAGATCTCAAGTATGGATATGATCTATGGTGCAGAAACCTCCACGAAAGCCCGTTTGTTCTGTGGGTTGCTGTTCATCTATTTGACCTCCTTTTCGGTTTTTTAGGCACAATGCGAAAAGTTTATACTTATATCGCAGGTAACAGGCTTATAGGGCGATAGTTGCTAGCTTTAGTTGAGTCACCTTTTTTTATACAAGAGAATAATTCTTGATTCTGTCCATTTTTGGGAACGCTACGTTTTTTTTTAAACTCTATTAAACAGTTCCACGAGTGGCACAGCTAATAGATGTTTGCCAAGCTTCAAAGCTTTATTAGGGATATCGTCAGGACCGGGACTTTTATCATTTTTCAGTTTGTCTTTGTTTCTGATGATTTCTATTTCGGTAAACTTATCAATATTTGTGGAGTCAAAGACCTCCTTGTATTTGCTCAGATCCCAGAGTATCTATAGTCTGCGCTTCGTAGAGGTTCTTATAATATTCTGTTGCGATATTGACAACATGTTTCCTTGTCAGAATTCCGTGTTTATTTGGTTTAATTTGTGGTATCCAATTTTTATTTTTATTTAATTGTTTATTAGCTTTTTTTAGACTCCCAGTATTATTAAGGTGTTCCTCTAATATTTGTATTCTATGTTGTTGGTATTCTTTCTTCAATTTTTTGTTTTTGTGTGTAATTGTGATAGCTCCTTTTTTCCTCAAAGTTTAGATGTTTTGTGTGTTGCAGATCTGCACGTCTTTTTGACAATGGTTTAGTTTCTGTGGTGATGAAACAGTTCCCTTGTAACGGTTCTTAAGTATGACCATATAATACCTTCTTCGAATTACGACACTTATGAACCATTAAGAGAAGAGGGTGATTGATTTTCATACTTGACTTTTAATGCCTGGTAGAGTAGAGCCACACTGAAGCCATATTATATGAATAATATGATAATGAATGGGTCTGCTCGATCGGGGAAGAACCATGTTTTTACAACACACCAGCATCAATTAATAGCTTAATATTGTGTTTGGAAAGTGGAGAGGACTGAAGACTCTTTTTACTATAAACTTTAAACGAGGCATTCAATCTTAATCCTCAGGGGTGACATCTCATTCTGCATTTTGATTCTTAATCGAGGATAAATGTAGATGCCTATAACCAAATCATCAGGTGGACTGTGTACTCGTTTGTCGCCCTTATGATATAAAAAATGGTATAATAGTAAGATGTGTAAAACTCAATAATGATACCTAATAAGGATTTGAAGCATTTTCTCATTGCCGATTTCAGCAGCAACTAGAAATTCCTTATCTTCATGCAAAAATTCTACAGCCCTTATCAGATGAGGATTTTGACCATCCGACCAATGTGATAAAAAACTGATATTTGATCGAACACTTGTTAACGACGTAGCGGAAACATCCAATGAGCCATCCGGTGGTTCTGTTGATGAGAAGGATATAAGCGTAAATACTAGTAAAATGACGAAATATAATTAAAACGACGAAATAAAATAAAAGTACCTAATTAAGAAAAAATTCTTTAAATGTGTTTATGAATTCTTTGTGTTACTGAACTGTTGTTGTTGAAATATTTATATCTTAAACGTTACTAACGTCTGAGCTAGTAGAGGAGAACTACGAAATCTAAATAAATGTAATCGAAGTCGCACGTCATCGCCTTGTCGCCACTACTGTTCTAGTACTAAGTAATAAGGATTGTGCTACTATATATTGAGAGAGTATTATTTCACTGTGCTACAGATCTCGAATATGAGTTACGCGCGATATCTTTTGATTTTTCGCTTTTTATTGCTCGAAATGTTAAAAGAGAATGACAGTATATTCGGTCTCAATTTATAACTACCATTGCTATAATATTTGACAAAATCTAGAGCGTTGTAAGCGGCACATAGAATGTAATATGAGTACAAAATTACCATTTTGTATTGCTTGTAAATGTTATACACGGTTAGGCCCAGTTAGTGAGTTAGTGACAAAAGATTTGCCTGAATGACGGAAGAGCTAAACCGCGGTTTTGCTGGCCCGCCGGTAGAACCCGTTGAAAAAAAAAACGCGTTTTTGTGAGCTGACGAGCCAGGCCATCGGCTCACCAGTGAGCTGATAAGAGAAGCTCTTAGCTCGCCAGCTTTGTATGAAATTCAATTTACATGATGTTTCAACAAACCCTAAGTAAGAACTGTTCGGCTTGCCAGTGTGGCCCAAGAAGCTTTAACGCAAGCTTATTGGCTCGCTCGCAGATTAGGACCTATATTCTCTTTGGGCTTATCACAACGCCTGTCGGTACGAGGTTGCTCGAGAACCTTTCGTCCCCATTGATTATCAGTTCTTGGAGCTATGTGATAGGCACGCTGCTACTTTAGTTTATAGATCCGCTGGACTATGTCAGTTAACTTGGACCTAGTCACAGAAATATTAATATGTTAAATGACATACAATCTGCTTGTTTCGATTTATTTATTATATACGTTATTGCGTATTACCTAAGAAATTTAGGTAAGTGCATAGATTCTGAGCTACTATGATGCACCTAAACTAAACCAACTACATTAGATATTCTGTGGATAAATTACACAAAAATTTAATTTTTTATAATGTCTTATAAAATACTAATATATTCTACAAATATTGACATATATTATTAGTTGAAATAAACAATTAGAAAATTTTATTCTTCGTGAAGTTAACGTGATCGATCATTCTTGCAACGGTGACGAAGTGTAACGCGGACTAATTCATGTTAACAAGCAGTGTTTTTATTAGATAATCATGAATCAACTCTATGTGGGTCATTTCCTTTATGCCGTCGGCTCATCGGTTAAGTAGTTTCAAATAATTGAAAAGTATGTGCAACAACTATAAGCAGCATTTACTTAAATGCATTTTAAGTAAATTTAATCTATCTACCTAAAATTAGCAGCAGTGTTGTATTCACTTGCCTATTTAGCTGCGTCCATGCCAATAAGTCGAATAGTTTATTTATTTCGCGCAATAAGTGAGTGGTATTTACTTTAGCTTCGCATGGAAGACGGGGACTAGAGCGACTTCTAGTTGTATTTATACATAAAAGAAAAAATCGTGAAACAAAAAATTTATTGCATTATCTATTGTTATATTTTTGTTATTCTAAATTTTGGTCGTCCTTAGTTTTTATCTCTTCATATTTAGAGGTAATATGAAAAGAAACATATTGTTCTCCTTCGAGGATTGTTTCCATTTTTGGTACTTTTTCTAAAATAGATGGTTTCTTTTTATTAGACATTTCTGAATGTTCTAAATTTGTTATAGTGTTTTGATTTTGAAGATACGAAAGCACAGCCGACTCATTGTCATATATTTCTTCTGCTTGTATGTTTTTTTTACATTCCTTTTCATCAGAATTTGAATGTATGTGATTCTCACGATTAGACAAAATTCCATTTTTAATAATGGTTTTTTGGTGAATCATGTCACTTTCAGTTTTAGTTTTATTGAAAACGCTTGAACTACAGCTTTTGATATGAGAGTCCACAACAATGAGAAGCGTATCTTTGTCATTATCATTTAACCCAAATTGTCTATTGGTTTGGTATTGCAAAAAATGATCATCTTCACTGCAAAGAATATACAACTTAATAGCTTCAAATATATTTTTGTTGGTGGTTATGATATAAGTCATGAATCTGGTACAATACGTCTAGTATTTAGTAAATTGTTTCTGTTGAGCGATCGACCCACATTATTGAGCTGGTTCTTTTATCTAAACTATATTTACTAAAGACGAACAGTCGGTTTTGACGTTCTGCTTGAAGTATCCTTTGGCTTTTCATCAGATTTATAACATGGTCCGGTAATATTTGTTCAGAATAAAATAAAAATAATACGGACTGATATAAATCTTTGATTAACCTGTATATAAACATTTTAAAATAGTTAAGAAACCAAACAAACGAATCATACTTTGCTCGCGCCAACGCCAAAACATCTTCTGCGTTTCGTGGTGTATTATTTACTGCCCTTTGTTCTATTTCTTCAATATGGCGGTCACTTATTCTATCCGTTTCCTGACTATCATTATTCATTATAAATAAGAGAGAAATTTATATTTGGTTTCTTAAATTAAAATGGAAGAATGTCACGACCGATCATGACATTTTTTATGTTTATTGATGAGTGAATCTGACACTGACAAATTGACTAAAATTATAAGTACACACAAGGCATAGGTACATATCCTTATACTTATTACAATAAAATATTATTACATTAATAATAGAAAAAAGGAGCTGTAATTATTTTTATGAATATAAAAAAAAATAAAAACACAAAGATTATTGGTTTTACTTATTTTTAAGGTCATAAGTATAAAGTAAATGTAACCCCGTATATCATTTGCCTGGGCAGAATGCTGAATGATGTGACGATTGTCACATCTTTTGGATATGAAATATATTATATGTTTCTCGTCCTTATCAACCCGTTAACAATTGACTGTCAACGAACATATCGCCTATACAATACTAGGGTAGATTTCTTTTTTATAGAATAGGGTAACAAACGAGCACACAGTCCACCTGATGGTAAGTGGTTGCTGTGGCCCATAGACATCTACATCTATCCTCGATTACGAATCAAAATGCAGATGCGTTGTCACCCGTAAGGACTAAAATGGAATGCCTCGTTTCCAGTAAAAAGGGGCTCCGGTTCTCTACACTCACCATACGAAATACAGCAGCAAGCTACTATTTCACGCTGGTATTCTGTGAGAGCGTGGTCCTTCTCCGGTCGAGCCGACCCATTCGTGCTACAACTATACTTCTAATATAACTGCAGCACGGCTCTACCACGTGAAAAAGTAAATTTACCGTAATCGCCAAACTTTGCGGAGAGATTGGGGATCGCAATACTAACCGGGGCGTACTTGTTTTCTGTAGCAGGTTTGGGTCTTTAATTTCTTACTTTATGAACGTAAAAGTTTGTGCGCTTAGATGTTCGACGTTCAATCGCGCAACGTCTGACGGATTTAATTAAAAATTTGCCGGGAGCTAGAAGAAGTTATGAAACAGGTTTCGATCAACAAATTGTTGCTAGAAGGAAATAAGAAGAGAAAAAAAGTAACGCACGTTACTTTTTTTCTCTACCGCGGCGGAATCTATGCAAGCAAAGCGGACAAAAATTAATCTACGATGCAAACAAGATTTCTCGCCTTTTAAGGTGTTTAGACTGGGAAGTGGTCAAAGATGTTTATTAAATTGTGTTAAATTATTGAGGACAACGCTCGACTATTGGAAACACCATCATTGTTTATTGTAAACAGAGTTATGTACGATATAGAATGTATGAAGTTTTTTCATCGGTATTCATACTATATCGGATATAAACTCAAAAATAACAACGTTACAGACCGTATTATTATGTTTAACAAACGCTATATACACACTACACTTTTTGTAAAATATCTAATTGAAATCAAACAATCGTACTTCAATGAAAGGAAAACTTACTCCTAAAATGAAACTCAATTTTTTGAATTACACTAATTTATGACACCAAGTTTATACCATTTACATTTACACACTAAATCTAAATACTGTTGAAATGTGAAGTTAAACTTTCCAAATATATAGCTATATATGATAAAACTAAAAATGCAGTCAGTTTTTCGGAAGTGTTGCATTTTGCTGTGCCATTTGATTTAAAGATATGTATATGTAGTGAACCGAGGTAGGACAGAATACAGTACATCATTAGGCCATTCCGTAACAAAACTTGAAAATAAATTAAAACAGATAATATTTTATTCTATTCTTCTTATATCTAATTTGGTTAATAACTATGAACTACAGACAGAATTAAATGCGCAACAATCTCTCAACCCGTGAAATTGCCTTCGTTTGCCCATTCAATAGAAAAGACTCATTTTCTAACATTCTTTTACCGGATAACATCGAGTTTACAAATAGAAATATTTATTATATATGGAAACATTTTAAGGAATGGATATTATATCTCTAGGAAAATGTTCAAAGAATCAGTCGTCGGTAAACGGGAATATCTTGCTCTTGAATACGAGGCGCAGAACGGAGAAGTTCTGCGAGTGTGTAAAGATCGTCGCGAGGTCGATAATTATTCTGATGCATCATACCGTCCGAACGTTTTCTTGCCACCATGAATCGTTTCATCTTGTTCGCGTACTGTCTTTTACGGCGGTTTTCCTCATACCTTTGGGCCAGTTCGTTTGGATCTACTTGGTACATGTCGGGCAAACCATGCGCTAATGCCATACGATTTTGTTCAGAGAAGTAAGAATGACGGGGAAAGTCTCTTTCACGAGGACCGATTACGACTGGTTCATTATACCATACATCACCATTCTCATCCACTTCGGGTTGATCTTCTTCTAACGCGTTCATTCGGCCATACCAACCATTATGTTCAGCAGCCCATTGATTTGCGTTCCATTCTTGTTTTCTACGTTCCTGTGCTTCCCACAAGTTTAATAATGTGCGAACATCAGCGGGACTTAGGCCAGAGTCACGCTTGCGGCGTTCCGATATAGGCCTGAAAATTTAATTAATTTTAAAAAAAGTTTTTTTTTTAAGAAATATTCATAACGATTTAATCAATATTCAATTGATGATAGAAATCGATGTACTTAAGTTTAAGATACCTGAAATTTTTCTTATTTCCACCAGAATTTTTAGTTGCCGTTTTGGCTGACGCGGCTGCTCCACCTACTTTAGTACCACTTCCGCGTTTTAGGCGATGAACATCGTGATCCTGAGACACTGAATCTATTGGAGACAAAGCATCCTCGGGTCTGTCAAAAGTTAAAAATATATAGACATTATTTTAATAACATAATATCTGAAATCTAAAAAACAAATGATCTTACTTCAAGTTCTTTTTGCCTGAGCCAGATTTAGTGGCCACTTTAGTTGCCGCACCAGCACCTCCAACCTTGGTGCCACTTCCTCGTTTACGTCGCCGAGAATCGTATCCAGAAGATAAACCTTCCATGGCTGGTGGTTCACCGTACAATTCAGGTCTCATGATAAGATTGTCAAGCTCACCAGTTGATTGAGGTGAATCAAAACGTTGGTCCACATTCTGTTCATAGGCCTCTACGTTACCTGAAATTATTAACGTGTGTTTAAGATCTTATTAACATTAGGGTTCTAAAGAGTCAGTCTATTTGCTTTCGTAGTTTTCTGTTTTTATCGCTATATTCAGTTACAAAATTATAGAATATAACAGTACTTAAATAATCTATAACAAATATAGTGTCTTTTATGTATTAATAAGCACCAATGTCCTAATAATCAAGACTGTTCTGTTAAATAAATTATATCAACAATCTACCTTCTTCACTTAAAGCAAGGGGATACGGTTCAAGATCATTTTTGTCGCTTTTATTCAGAAAAAGAGACTGCGTATCATCTTTTGTTTGATCCCAGTTGTCTGGTAGTTCACTGATTGCACCTCCATCTAAAATCAATATTTTTGAATATAATAAATGACTTATAAAAGTATATACATTTATAAATTTATCGAATAAATTAACAAATATCGGTGTAAATATCCAATTGAAGCACAAATCCACTTTTGAAGTCCATGCAACTACTCTACTCTTTTTCTAAGACTGCAAAAACTGAAGACTTTCTATCAATGATCATCATTCTTCATTTTTGCATTTTATACAAGATCGTTATACTTATAAATCTTGTAAACAAGATGTTTTGGTATACTGCTAAACGTGGGCTTGTTTCACCAGAAGATTCGTCCTAATCTTCACGTTTGTTTGATAGGATGATTGGCGATCGCACCATAGAGATTACATATCGTCACCGGTCTGGATATTTTACATCCGGTACATTGTATATTTTATTTCTCCTAGTGTACCATTACGATATCCAAGACATGAGATGGGGTGAGAGATTATCTTTTCTGCACCACATGAAGGTTGAATACTAATGCGTATATTATAACATGCTTGTAATCGATATTGATTTTAGTGGTTTTAAATTGTCAAGATAAAATCAGATAAGTTATGTAGTTGGTTTCTGATTTGTTTCTGGTTGTCTCAGAAGGGCGTTGTACTTACGTGTAGTTTGTCTTTTGCGTCTTGACCTTTGGCCTCATCTACGAAGTTTTACAAGTTACAATTTTTGATGATAATACAAACACAACGCTTGAAAAATATAATAAAATATTTGCTTAAAGTTCATTGCGATGAATGTATCTTTAATTTATTAATAAGTTTATCAATGCAGCCTATGGATATGAGTGCTTTATTTTTTTATTATAATTAGGTAGCTCGTTTGTTAGATTTAGTTTTTTTAAATTTTATTAGGTGTTAAAATTGATGATAGAAATTTTAATTGCTACATTTGTTACGTGGTAAAAACAAATTTAGTGACGTCATGTCTTAGAAATAACGGTGGATGGATTAATTGATGGATAATATGTGATATCTTCCAATTCGCACCGGTACTGTTTATAGATATGTCCAGCTTTGTACCATACTCAGAATGGATTTGGTTTAATAAATTAAGGGCTACTTCTCAAAATTTTTGTTTTGATTAATTTTATGAGAGTTTATTTTGGTTGCTTAAATATCCAAATCCTTCGTGATAATATCTAATAATAACAGAGGCATCCATTATTGAAGTTAAAATAGGTTATTTTTAGACAAGGGTTGAATAGAAAAGGTCATAGTTTACACTCGGTGGTAGGTGTTTCGCAGTAAGATAACGACGCAGTTGGGCCACCTGTTGCTAAATATAGAGCGCGACCCGGCCTCCGCTTGATCGATTACATCATAATAATTAATAAAATAACTTACTAAAATAAAAATATATACACAAACACAGACGCATATTAAAGAGCAAATTACTGTTTCAATTTATCTACATATTATAAATATTAAACATACCTTTGTTATTCGTAGGTGCAGGCACCGCGTCGCTAACAAATAAAACCGCGAATAACGCGGTCAAAGTTACAATTAACATGTTCACAGCTTGGCAGTATCGGAAAAAATGTTATACAGTATTTAATATTTAATTATAATAAAAATCTTTTCAGAGTAACTCGAAATGCGATAGTGAGATGGGCACACTCAGGGAACGAGTGTCATCTGCTGGGTACCACTGGAGAGAAAACCCATCGGTCCTGTCGATACATTCGCGACATGCGCAGTGAGCACGCCAGAGACGAATTGATAGCTTGATAATAAAATATAATATTGTTTAGCCAACAACGAGCAAATTTAATGTTTAAATCAAAATATTAGTGTACAAACATTAAAATTGATATCCAGTAGTATTTTCAAACTCCTTGCAAACAATAAAAAACTTTGAAAAAATATGATTAATTAAATACTTCAATGTCAAATTAAGCTCCTTAGGACAAATTGTTATATCTATTGGTTCTTATGCATAAGAATTTGATACCTATCTACTTTAATAAAAATATTATTTATAAAAAATATACATAATTATTAATTACTTATATTTTCATCGAAATTGTTATATAACTGAAATTCTTTTGTAACCAAAAGTAATTTTGGTGTAGGTCCTTTAATGTAATAAATTAGTACCTATAGTGCAAAATAATATATTTACGAAATTTATGATTTAAATCCACCCCTGATTTACGGACGTCTGAGGTCGTTAAATTAAAGTTAATTTAAAGCTGTTTATAATATATCTTATTGCTTGGAAGCTGAAGCAGCACCAGCGCCGTCGGCACATATTAATTACATTACATTAAGCATTTTCCAGCTTTTTACCCGTGAAACGAGGCAAATAGAGGTCGTTTCCATGACAACTCTTACCTACTAATGAAAACCTACAAAAACATACGCCTGCTATTACATTATTCGTCGTCGCACCCTATTACAAAACCTCTAAATAATCTTTACTGTTTTATATTCTACTATATAAAAATTAATATGTGTTTGTTCGTATTTTATACGCTGCCATACAGTTTATCAGATTGCGGTAAAACTTTGACAACATATTGCTTGCACCTCCGTGAAGGTTATAAGTATAGTTAGATCCGGTAGGTGGCGGTGTTGTAAAATCGAAAAATCACCCGTACGATGCCGGGGCAGATCGCTAGTAATATATATTAAAAAATTCTTAAGACGGAATACCATGTTATTTATATTTATATCTAATTAAAGAAATTACATAACTATATGAAATTTTGAATGATGATAGTAAAAATAAGCAATATTGACAAATAAAATAGTTAAAAAGATAATCAAATAATTTGTCAAACATTGCTCCTGGTTAAATTCGAAATTCGCGTTCGTTTTTAGTTTGAAGGTGCACAATAGCAGATGTTAACGACAGTCATCTTCTTGTTTAGTCACTTTAACTATACAAAAGATAACTGACCGAGGCAATAGTGTTCCCGATTCAACGACGTCCTGTGTTCGCACTGTAGGTATCCTCTCATTTGAAACTTCGACTTATTTATGATTTCCTTTCACTATAAATATTGAGATTTATAAGTCCACGTGAGTATTACGAGAACATTTTAGAGTCGAATACGTTAAAGTTACAGTCTAATATTATACGTCCCACTGCTGGACACTTCTCTTATTTCTAGGATAAGATTCCGTAGACGAAGGAAATGACCAAATCGCTGCCGCAATGCGTGTTGACGGAGTACGGATAATAGTTCTAAGACATGTGAAGGGCATTTCCTTGCCTTAAAACCCTTTCAAAAATGAGGAGGCCTGTGCCCAGTTATGGGACGTATATAATCTGTAATTTTACTTTTTTTCTTTTTACTCTTTAACTAGAAAACTAATAGGCTTCGTTTGGGATTTGAAATTAGACACGCAAATTATTAGCTCATGTTATCGTTACTTAGGGTCGATGCGCCGGTAAGCCGGCCGTGTCTAGATTTCGGCCTTTGGCACGAGCTGATGAAGTAAATTTGATTTAATAACAATTTTAATAAATATTATCGTACGAAATACAGTTTAATACATTTATAAATAGTTTCACTATATCTGGTAGCATTAATTAATCAGGTAAACACAACACGCGATTTATAATAAATAGTTTAGTTTGACGCCGGCACTGAAGCTATCAAAACGAGTAAGATCGAGCAAAAAAAATAGTGGCAAGCGTTCCATTCAAAAGTAAGTTTCGTGCTGTATTTAATATAATTACTTAATATTGTGCTTATATTTCACTGTATAAATAAACTAATATAGTTATTTGACACTGATTATTATAATAATTTATTGATAAAGTTAATAAATTAAGTGGCCGAAAAGTGACACATAAAATTGTCCCATTATTTGTGGTTGTCGGCCATGCGGCCGAAAAGTAGCCTGAGTTTAGCCTAAATACTTTGTCTCTTTTGTTTATTTGGTTACGTACTATAACTCATCTTTCTTACTTATATTGAATCGTAGCGTGCGTAGACACTAACTTTCAGTTTTCGGCCACCAAGTACTGCAATTTGAACAGTTAGTGATGAAACAAAATACCCATTTTGGTCGTGGCCGAAAACTGGATTGACTCTAAAATAATTACAATTTAGTTTTCGGCCAACTTAAAATTGTATGAAAGAATACGGCGGCGGAAAATGGAATGCTGTCTTAGTTTACGTTTACGGACATTTCATCTTATCATATCAAATATTTTATTCACATTGCGTTTTAGGAAGAAGATTCAATAAGAAATTTTTTTCTTCAGATGGCTCCTCTTGGTTAGAGATGAGAATGGTTAGAGATGGTAACAGATTTTGTGAAACTAAAATACTTATGAGGAAGTACAAAATACTCGTAAATGAGAATATTTGATTGCTACATTTAAAAGATTTTATTATTAGATTATGATTCAAAGAGAAATAATTAATCATGGTTATTATATTATATCAAAAACACCCAAAAAGAAAAAAATTACGTCACGGTTAAAAAATCGCAATCACCGATTAAGAAAACTAAATACACCGATTTCCCAAACCGTTTTGCCATTTTCTGATTTTACAAAAACACTTTTAAGTTTATAGTACCTCTTCTAATACAGTGGCCGAAAACTAAAATTCTTGTAGGCCGAAATCTAAAATTTGGGGCCGAAAACTAGCGTTTTGCATATTTTTCACATCAAAATTTATTATAAAAAAATAGATTTCTTTTGTAGCATCAATGAGTTATCAAAATTAAAACTACATTATATAAGCTATAAATTAAAATTAACAACACTAGGTCAACATAATCGCTATTAATTTTTATAGTACCTTAAAGTTGACAACTCCACTAAAAAGGCCGAAAACCAGCGCAACGACCCTATACTAGGATTGTTATTATTTATCTACCTTTGTGCAATACCGCACAGTCCAATGCTCAGCAAGTACGTAAAAATACACCCACCAGTCCACTGCACTGGTAGGTGTATTTTTACGTACTTGCTGCGCCGCAGCGTTTTTGCCGGTTATTCGAAACGTATAACCGGCAAAAACGCTGCGGTTCTTTTTTTATTAAAAAAGAAGATTCGGTTATTCCGTTTATTCGCCCTAAAACAGCAACCATAGGTTGGATACTCGGAAACGCGTGTTCAACTTAACACCGCAGACGGGGTGTAGATAGAATTCGTGTATATTTTTCTTCCGATTTTCTCCCTCGGCTGTGTACAGTTATTTATAGAAAGAAACATGATAAATACTGGTCCCAGATACTTTGTAGACATTAGCATACCTATAAAAATATCTACATACTTCTTGTTTGAAAGGTCCCCGTGAAGTCCTCACAGGACTACAAATTGATTAGAATCTTGACATAAAATAATATAAAGTGAAGTTAAAGACAAACATCCAAGTTTAATGACGTCTTTGGTATGCTTGCAAAGTATTCGAAATTTTTCTCTAACACATACCTAGTGTTTGCAAATGCAAAAAAATACACGATTGCAAATGTACATTAAAAGAGATGTATTCATCCAGGATATCAAATTACGTCTACTCAATAATGAAATTAGTTCAGTCTAGTTTTAAGGACGCGTTTGCAAATCAACCAAAATTAGGGTGTTTTTCGGTAGATTTTGTGACAAAACTAAACCAAATCAAATATAAGTAAAAACTACCATGTATAGATTGGTTCTTCATCTGCAAATGTCTGTAACTCTTTTTGTTGAAAATAGTTTTTTTTATATTGTAAAAACGAACTTTCGTTGCCATTTTCTACAAAATTAACGATACCGGCTTGTGTTTCGGTATATGTTTTGGTCTATTATCAACATATTTAAAAAATTTAAAAAATACTATAAGATGACAGACATATTCAATTAAAAAACCCTGAGTTTATTTTTTAACAAAATGTCACAAATAGTCGTAAAAAAAATAAAAACTGATGCACATTTTTTCACATATTTTGGTAATACGGATGAATCATAATGTATTGCAATAAGGGCTATTTTATTGTTGGTGCCTGCTTTGATTTATTGTACAAAGATTTCGATGAAACCACAGTCCGCGCTCGGCCGCCGTCGTGAGTGGACACTGTATCGCCTGTTTGCAGTGGCTCATTCTGAAAAGATCGCTGTACATACACAAAATATTAGAAAAAAACAAATTGGAAACATAAGTACTTGACAAGTGATAAAATTATTATTTTTATACTCACAGTTTTTTATTTCGCTAAAAATAAGTAGGATATATAAACTTACCTACTACTGCAACTCCTGGACGAGCGGAACTAGGTGTGCCGAGTTTGGGCTCGTTTTGTTGGTTATGATGAGACCTTACCTCCGCACTTGATGGTGTGACCTGAAGGTGTACTTTCGCGACCGCTATTTGAACTTCTTGTAGAGTAAAACTAGGTGTGCCGAGTTTGGGCTTATTTTGTTAGTTACGATGAGACCTTACCACCGGACTTGATAGAGTGACCTGAAGGGGTAATTCAGTAACTACTGCTGGAATTTCTGAACGAGTAGAACTAGGTGTGCCGAATTTGGGCTTCGTTTTGTTAGTTATGACGAGTCCATACCTCCGGACTTGATGGAGTGACCTGAAGGTGTAATTCAGTGATTACAAGTGGAACTCCTAGACTTGTAGAACTAGGTGTGCCGAGTTTGGGTTCGTTTTGTTAGTTACGATGAGACCTTACCACCGGACTTGATTGAGTGACCTGAAGGTCTAAATCGGTGATTTCAACTGGAACTCCTAGACTGGTAGAACTAGGTGTGCCGAGTTTGGGTTCGTTTTGTTAGTTACGATGAGACCTTACCACCGGACTTGATAGAGTGACCTGAAGGGGTAATTCAGTAACTACTGCTGGAATTTCTGAACGAGTAGAACTAGGTGTGCCGAATTTGGGCTTCGTTTTGTTAGTTATGACGAGTCCATACCTCCGGACTTGATGGAGTGACCTGAAGGTGTAATTCAGTGATTACAAGTGGAACTCCTAGACTTGTAGAACTAGGTGTGCCGAGTTTGGGTTCGTTTTGTTAGTTACGATGAGACCTTACCACCGGACTTGATTGAGTGACCTGAAGGTGTAATCAGGTGGTTACAAATGGAACTCCTAGACTAGTAGAACTAGGTGTGACGAGTTTGGTTTCGTTTTGTTAGTTACGATAAGATCTTACCACCGGACTTGATGGAGTGAAATTCCGCACACCTAGTTCTACTGGTTCAGAAATTCCAGCAGTAGTTACTGAATTACCCCTTCAGGTCACTACATCAAGTCTGGTGGTAAGGTCTCATCATAACTAACAAAACGAATCCAAACTCGGCACACCTAGTCCTACAAGTCTAGAAGTTCCACTTGTAATCACCGAACTATACCTTCAGGTCACTCCATCATGTCCGGTGGTAAGGTCTCATCATAACCTACAAAACGAACCCAAACTCGGCACACCTAGTTCCACCAGTCTAGGAGTTCCAGTTGCAATCACCGATTTACACCTTCAGGTCACTCCATCAAGTCCGGAGGTATGGACTCGTCATAACTAACAAAACGGAGCCCAAATTCGGCACACCTAGTTCTACTCGTTCAGAAATTCCAGCAGTAGTTACTGAATTACCCCTTCAGGTCACTCCATCAAGTCCGGTGGTAAGGTCTCATCATAACCAACAAAACGAACCCAAACTCGGCACACCTAGTTCCACTAGTCTAGGAGTTCCTATTGTTGTAATCACCAAATTACACCTTCAGGTCACTCCATCAAGTCCGCAGGTAGGTAAGGTCTTATTATAACTGACAAAACCAGTTCAAAGTCCAGAGCTAACATCTCACTACCAGTAGAGGGCTTCCAGTGCCAAGCAGTCTTTGGAGCAGGTATTCATATTTCGTATCGAAGTATATTTCTGAGGTAGGTATAAGAAATGAAAAACAAATTCAATCTTTCAAATTATCAAAATAATTTCATTTGACTACGATTCCCACAGCCAACCGTGCGTACACTAGTGTGTGTGTGACTTTTGTCAATGTAGTAGTGCGATTCTATACCTATCCATTTTGTAAACGCGTCCTTAATAATGTTTTTTTAATGTTTCTGTTTAATGTGTATGATAGCGCCATCTGTGAGCGCAGTTATAAATTTCGACGATGATTGCCTAAAGGCAAGGTTACCGTTACCGTTACGGTACGTCAGTTAATACTAAACCCATAAACCTGTGGTTACAGATACAGCCTATCAAGATTTAACTGTTGAACATAGGCCTGCACCTCAGGTTTGCTCGTAATTATTTTTAACTATAGAGCCGTGTATGCAATATCAATTGTCCCATAGCGTCCCGTGGGTGTCGTAAGAGGCGATGGACAGCGGCGACTTGCTAACAAAAAGTAAAAATAAAAAACTGCGACTGCCAACGCGCTCTGGTGGCAACTATAAATATTCAAGAGGCAGCTATGAAGCAGTCTGTGAGGAGGCCTATGTTCAGCGATGGACTTTGATACGTTGCGGTGGTGATTGAATGACTTGTGAAAAACTGGTTGTTACAATTTACTTTATTAAATAGCCTACAAATAATAATATCATTATTTTTTACTCACGAATTACATTATCTATTGAACCATAGAGTACACTTTAGTACTAAGTACAAAAATACCAATATTATTTATACATTTTTTCAATAGACCTACCAACAGCATGGAATAAATAGTAAGTGGCATTTACAAACCCGTACCCTAAGAAAAAATTAACCGAAAAAGAATCTTTGAAAAGTAATAATGTTACATACCGGCCTAAAATACAGCTTAAGTGGTAATGGGCCTGCCATATAGCTCAAAGAACAGACAACTGATGTAAAAGAAAGGTTTTCAAGCGAAAGCCTCATACTGGCAATGCACAGTGTGGGGTGACTGTCTCTAGATTGAGTGAGGATGTGACGAAGCACACATGCAGTCATTGGATGCAAGTGACTCAGGACTATACTTTTTGGCAATCTATGATATGTAAGCCTATGTTTAGCAGTATGGGCTGCAGAGAGAGAGAGAAGTAAAAAATAAAAGTTCACTTACTATTCAATATGTTTGGCAGGCTAAGGCTGGGCAAGTTAGTAATACTAATGCACACACTACTGCAAAAGATTATATTATTGCTTGTATATGTTGTGCTTTAACAATGTTCACCATAACAGTTATTGAAAAATTATAGTTTTAGTGACATTACAAAATGTTTTTTTTAATTTGTTGCATGAATACTTAAATTGCATTTAATAATACATTTGAGTAAAATCTAATATATGATTCTGTGTAGAGAATAATCTTAACAATTTCATACACTTACTGAGTCATAAAAAATAACATTAAATTACTGAGGTTATTCTTGATCCTAAAAAGGATTTATGTATAATAGAAATACAAGTTGCTTTCAGTTAAAATGTTGACCAAAATAACAGAAACCTACATAAATCAATTACCTATGTATAATCAAAGAGAGAAAAAATGTTAAGAAATGTCAATACACTTTTAATAATTCTATTGCTGTTACAGTAAAAATTTTAAACAATACATAAAATAGAATAAAATGGTAATATATATATATATATATATATAAAATAGAATAAAATAGAATATAATAGTAATATAATGGCATAGAATAGAATGATGATACCTATATTAAACATATAATAACACTATATAGTTGAAGACCATTTTATTGTACTATAAGCTGAATAGTCTAAAATTAACTTAACCCTATAACTTATGCTTAGTTTTACTGACTACTTTCTTCCCTTTTTTCTTTTGCTTCCTCTTTTTTTGGTCACTATCCGAACTTGAACTGCTGGAATTACTACTTGAGTCAGAACTAGAAGAGCTAGATGAACTGTCACTAGAATCACTACTGCTGCTGCTAGATGTTGAATCCTTTCTTTTTTTTCTTCTTAATTTTTTCTTTTTATGATCTGAATCGCTTGAAGAACTAGTACTACTGCTACTACTACTAGAAGAACTAGAATCAGAGGAATCAGTTTCAGAAGAAGAAGTTGAAGGCTTTCGTTTCTTTTTTAGGTTTTTATTCTTCTTATTATTTCTTTTGTTACAATTTTTTTCTTTTAAGCCTATTCTTTGCTTTTCATTTTTCTTCTTTACCACTGGAGATGGGGTCCGAGATCTTGCATATTCATCATATCTTGTTTTTTTACTATCCCTAATATTATGTTTTGTTTCATTGTTCGGTTGTTTTCGTTTTAGCTTATTATACTTGGAAGTACTTTCATGGTTATCATTGTGAGATAATTTACTTTCAATATTTTCACTTTTGCTATTGTGTTTAGTTTTTCTGTTACTGTCTTCCTTTCTTTGATTGGGTGACTCGGAAGTATGTCTTTTATGAATTTTAGAATGGGATGTCACTTTTTCCTTCTTGGTACTATAGTCATGATTATTAGTACCTTCATGGTGTTTGTTATTTCTGAAATGTCTTGAGCTTCTCTCTAGAGGTTGTTTTTCCTCTCTTCTCTCATCATAAGGGCTTCTTTCTCTTTTAGATGTTGCATTTCTGTGATCATAAGTTCGTGACCTACTTCTGCTCCTCTCATGGCTTTTATGCTTTTCACGACTATGTCTCTTACCTCTATCATTATTATTTGTTACTTTATCATGTTTACTGCTATGTCTAGATCTTTCTTCTCTCTTTTTATCATAACTTGAGTTTTCAATTCTCTCCCTACTTCGGGACCTTTTCAATTTATCATAATCAGTGTAAGTAGTTTTAGATTCATTTTCGTTCAGGTACTTAACACCTCTACCCTTTCCCAGCCACTTCATTTTAGAAACAGACTGAGAAAAATCCACATGAATACGTCGATCATCTATTAACACATTGTCCATTTTGAAATAGGCATCTTCACATGACTGCTTGTCAGCAAATTCTATAAAGGCATATTGTAATGAGTCACCAGTCTTTTTATCTCTTATAACTTCACAGCTAACAATTTTTCCAAAACGGCTAAAAATGATTTCTAAGTCTTCATCAGTAGTGACAGGGTTAAGCTTACAAACAAACAACACATTTTCTGGTGGGGCAATATCAGCATCCGGCAAGTCACCTACTATTTCTAATATAGTTGCTCTTGCTTTTGCTTCTTTTTCTTCTACCATTTCTTGTATTTCTTCAGCAGTCTTACCTTGTGTTTCATCTATTTCTTCATCAGGTGCAATTCTACCTCCTCTTAAACGCTCAGCACTGGGTGATGGAGATCTAGACGGTGGCATGAGACCAGGAGGATCATTAAAAGGATCTTCTAGAACAACTGTGTGAGTGATCCTAACATCTTGATATGGGCGATGAGTTTCATCACAAATAACTTCATTAAGCTTGCTTAATATTTCTCGACCTTCAGTGACTTCACCAATGATGCAGTGTACCCCATCCAAGGAGTCTAAATCAGAAGCAAGGGTGAAATAAAATTGTGATCCAACCATCATGTCACCTGTACATACCATTGCTAGTAAACCAGCGTCGGTGTGACGTATTTTAGGCATTTTTTCACCAGAAAAGAAACGTTTTTCTGGACCATCTAAAAGCCCCCATATAGACTCTCCTCCAGATCCTTCACCAGTCGGGTCGCCTGTTTGAGCTATGAAACCACTGCGTATTGTGTGAAATAAATTAAAATTATAGTATTTCATTTTGCATAGTTTCAGAAAGTTCAAACACGTAACAGGTCGCTGTTTCAAGTATAAATCCACTGTTATATCGCCGAGAGTTGTTTCTATTACAACAGCCATTTTCATTAAACAGTTAATAACTTATTATTAATTGTCAGAACATAATTTAATTGTTAAAAATTTCTTATTAATTCACAAAACTTGACACATCATATCAAACATTATCCTAACCTAACCTCTTTAGTCTTTACGTCTTTAGTCTTTAGGTCTGTAGTCTTTTTAATTTTTTTTTTACAGGCAAAAGAATCTACACTCATACAGCCTAGTATGACGTATTTTGATTAAAAAACTCGACACATTTTGCATTTGATTCCAAAGTATTTGGAAAACTTTAACGGTAGCATAACCCAGCTGATAGTTGATAGTAACATTCTCAAGGCATCTTAACTGATAGAAAACCTTGAGATTTGTAACACCATCAAAGCACTTGTATCATTTTCATTGATAGTTCACATGATAAGAGCGACCTATTCCGAAAACTTATTGATCAACCTAGCTTACAGCCCAGTTTACATTATGCTCTTCCGTTGTTCAGCATCACCGTCTGTGGTTCATGTGCTGTATGTTGGATTTTCGAAAAATCATTAAGTTAATTCGATTTTTCTGGAAGAAATTACATTTAATATCTCTAGATACACTCTTCACCTATTTTTCCAAGTTTACATCATGCTCTTACATTATGTCTGTGGTTCATGCGCTGTAAGTTGGATTTTCGAAAAATCATTAAATTAATTCGATTTTTCTGGAAGAAATTACATGTGACATCTTTAGAAGCACTCGTATCAAATAGTTGTCCTATTTTCCCAAGTAGAATAAATATTCAGAAACATATTAAAACACTTTTCTTACAAAAAAGCTAGATAAACAGGAATCGATTATAGCCTAGCTACAGTGCGGTTGTGTAGCAGAAGTGTTGGTATTATAATGCGCTGCCTCCATATTCTCTGCGGTCGAGTTGAAATCACAAAAGAAGTGGAGTATTGGTATAACAATGCACCACTCGACCTGTCCTCCGCGACCTAGATAAAGCCATACTGCTGATACGCCGGTAGTCGGGCTACGCGCCAGAGTCGTATTTACTAGTTTAGGATACAAAATGGATGCAGATGCTCACCTCATTATACTTATTTGTATCCAATTATACGAGTAAAATGGCATTTATTAGTACTTAATATATTAATGCCTATTATGTTGTGTACCCTTTATAAAAAATTGTTTTAAGCGCCATCTGTTCATATGTTTGCTGACTAAAATGTACAATATTATTCAGCGTTGTTCGTAACAAACATTTTAGGTGCCGCCTCTGACATTTTGAAGTTTGATTTATTTTGGAAAAATGTATATACCTCAAAGTAAGCTGTGTATGTAATTACTCTAAAGTAGGTACCTATCTCATGATTCTGATGTGCTAGTAAATATTTGTAAAAGCTACTAAATAACTCTCTTGTACCTACTTAGCGCCTTTTAGATAATAATAATTCATATCATGTTATACATAGAAGTCACTGAAAAACCTTTTTCGTGTCTTTTACCGCGGTAATTAAAAGGGTTGGTATTTTTATTAATCAGTGGAGAGAGAAAACATTCAATGGAGAGAGATAAATGTAAAGATTGGGTGTAATTTTAATATCTAAATGGTTAATGTCAACGTTTGTGAAAGTAAATTTTGCGTCATATTAATAAAAATTAAAAACCATCTGAATTACTAATGCCGGATAGACTAAAACAGTGTCAAAATGGATTTTTTCAGGCACTTGAAAAATAATGGTTCAAAAAATATAAAATAATGATTATAAATTATTTACTTTAATTATACTCGACTACAATAATAATTTTTAACGTATTTTTTTAGAATTTTAACAAAAATATAACTTATAATATTAGCTGTACAGGATAAACATACATAGATAATTAATTTAATGCCATAATATGGGCATTAGCATTAATGAAGTGAAACTTCTTTATCGACGTAGTGGAGAAATTTAGTATGGCATAAAAAAAGTGTTACGTTATCTTGTAACGTTTCGTCACGGGGGCTGCATGAGTATACTATTATTTAATCTTTTATATTAAATATTACAAAAAAAGAAACGTGCGACATATAAGAGATATGTCATAAAGAAGTTTCACTTCGTACGTGTGTTACACAATTTAACTTTTTATATTGCAGGGGGGGGGTTGGGGTGGCACTAGTGTGTTTATATTTGTGTATAATTTGAACCTTGTATTAGAATGATTGAATATACAGGCATTTATAAAGAAAAATAGACCTTTCTCACGTCTGAAAATTAGCAATATATCCGATAAACAAAGTGAAGCCAGTACGCTTTGCAATTGGCTGTATGCTCACGTTTCTAGAAAATCTAATAAAGGCCGTTTCGTTCACCCTCCTTCCGCTCTGCCCTAATAAAGTGAGTATTGAAAATTTACCAACCATTCTATGAAGAATATAAGGTTAGCGCGGTATGGATGGCGATCTTAACCTAAAACGGCACACGGATCAAAATATTTTAAACCTTTTTTGCGGTTGACTTAAAGCTTGCAATGGAAAATCGTGCTTTGCGCGCGGTGGTTATAAATTGTTCACACTGTTACCCAACAAAGTCAGGCAGCGACCTATCGAAGTAATAAAATAAGCTTTGCCGGATGGAAATATGATATAAACACGGCGTCACGTGTATCCCCTCTGCGAGTCGCAATTGAAAATTTTTAATAGATTTCTCACACCTTCAATATAATATTATTCGAAAAAAAAAATAATGTAATGATGATTATAAATTATTTGCTGTGTTTCTACTATAGTAATAGTTTTTTAACGTTTGTTATCTTTTAGAATCTTAACAAAAATCCTTATAATAAATAATACTTACTAGCCGTACAAGATAAACATACATAGATTAAATAAAACTATTATTTACGGATTTTATCGCGTTTAATTACTTTAATTTATTTCTATTATTATCCCGACGTTTCGGGTGCTTTACAGCACCCATGGTCACGGGGTGGACTGAGATGTTTGACGTCCCAATGTCATAGTTAGTCCGGCTACCTTCAGTTTTTTTAATATTAATTTTTGGTCCGATTTACGCAATATTAAAATAAATTAATAACGCGTAAATCGGACCAAAAATTAAAAAAAAAATAATATTAAAAAAAACTGAAGGTAGCCGGACTAACTATGACATTGGGACGTCAAACATCTCAGGCCACCCCGTGACCATGGGTGCTGTAAAGCACCCGAAATGTCGGGATAATAATAGAAATAAATTACAGTAATTAAAAGCGATAAAATCCGTAAATAATAGTTTTATTCAATGTGTAGTGTTCGCGTAAATTTAAGAAATCATTATACATAGATTATTAATATTTTATTGCCATAATATGGGCATTAGCATTATTGAAGTGAAACTTCAAGATCGAGGTAGTGGAGAAATTAAGTACGCCATTAAAAAAAAGTCACGTTGTCTTATAACGTTTTGCCGCAGGGGCTGCATGAGGATAGTATTATTTTAATATGCTTATATAAAATATAAAATAAAAGAATAAACTTGCGACGTACAGGAGATTTTTTTGTACTATATTAGTAGTATAGTTGTAGCAAGAATGGGTCGACTCAACCGGGGAAGGACTACGCTCTCAGAATATCGGCGTAAAGTAGCAGCGTTTCGTATGATGAGTGTAGAGAACCGGAGACCCTTTTTACTGGAAAGGAGGCATTCCATCTTAGTCCTCACGGCTGACCGCATTTGCATTTTGATTCGTAATCGAGGATAGATGTAAATGTCACGATCAGCAACCACTTACCACTAGGTAGACTGTGTGCTCGTTTGTAACCCTTCTCCTATAAAAAAGGATATTGGCACATTTTGCCTTTTAATTTTTGCAGCCTTAAGTTACAATTAGTCGATCATTAGGTACATATTTAATATAATATTATAATTAAATAAAAATAATAAGTAAGCAAATTCAAGTTAAAAAAAGTAAGTAAAACCGATGTGAACTATTAAAAAAATTACTTTCCAAGTTCCACGTTACAGCTTCCTTTTTTTTTTGTGCCCGAAGCAAATATGGGCAACCCTCCGGAAAGCGGGGGGAGGTAGGTTGGGAATGCTCATAGCATACCACGCAGCCGGCTGCGTGGTTATGTGGTGACTTTTACCCACTAAACCCAACCTTTTAGGAATTGGCTTAACGATCTGACTAGAGATCTCTAAGCCGTATACGAACGCGACCCTCCTTGGCAGAAAGGAGGGCGCAGTTACAGCTTCCGAAGTCGGTGCTAATATGTAGTTATTAATTCGGTTATGGAGTCGTACGGTTGTACTTTGCTAAATATTATCTATGTAATGTATATTATTATAATTTTGGGGTATCTATATAGTTTTCTCATCTGGTTGGGTTCTATAAATATATAATTATAAATTAAAGTGAAAAGATAAATATCAATAAAATAAAAAAATACATAAATAAATAAAAGCCCAACCAGATGAATGTCCTCGGCAGGGGAGACCAAACAGCCGAGGGTTAGGAGGAAAGAGAAAGAAACCGGCGGACGATGCGGGCGGTATCGAGGAGCACCGCCTTCTGCATTTGAGGCCGGAGCGGTCCGTCACGGAGTCCCAGTCGCCTCAGATGACCCGAGAGGCTGACTGGGATTAGCCCATGCGCAGAGACGACTACAGGGATAATTTCGGCCGACAGACCACCCCACATGTCGGTCACCTCGTGAGCCAGGCCCAGATATTTTGTTCGTTTATCTGTTTCGGCTTTCACGAGGTTCTCGTCATACGGACTGGTAATGTCGACCAAAAATATCCTTGACCGTGCCCGGTCCATCAGCACAATATCAGGCCTATTCGCAAGAATAGTCCTGTCTGTGATGATGGCCCGGTTCCAGTAGAGCCTGGCGCGATCATTTTCGAGCACGACTTCCGGAAAGTACTTGTAATATTGCAATTTCC